AAAAGATTTGAAACAATTAATAGATTTCATGGAATATTTACTAATAAAATATCTTTATTGGCCAAAAACATACTAAATGGTTTAAGCTTTTTGTTGGACATAAATTCTACTGCCAGTGTTATCAGCAATTACACAAAATATTCTTTCACTCGTCAGTTTGCAGCATCCAGCTATACTGTCAGTTAAAAGTTGTTTGATTCTGTATTGGTTATTAGTCAATTCAACCAATTAATAGACTTAAATAAACATTGATTATAATAAAATATGATAAACAAGATCAACAAGGAAAGGCGGCGTTCAATGAACGCAACCCCCATATGACCCAGCAACAAGAACCAATAGCAAGGAGCCCAGGCGGACCCCAAACATAAAAAGGACAGGGCAACGACACGTTAATCATTAAATGATAAATAATTTGTAACTGATTAGGAATTCAAAGAAAATAATAATAGGCCCACAAAGGGGAAGGGGACAGGAGACCGGGGGAAGGGGGGGGGGGGTTTAATCAAAGAAATAAAAACTAGAGGCAATGGGGAAGATACTTACCGTAGACGAGAAAACAACAAGGGACACAAGCAAAAGTGTCATCAAAACAATATGAAACAACATAGACATACATCTGAGGAACACAGTGGGACGCCGCCTTGGAACGGTCAGCAGCATAGTAATGACTGCTGGGGAGTTTAAACCGGTTAATGGTGCACCAAACCTCGCTCTTAGCCCCACCATGTTTCTATAAACGAGACAGTGTAAATAAAATGAATCCTCGCCAAGTGAAATTCTAACAGTTGTCATGGTTACAAAAGGTTAAATAAGTAAAACACTTAAATGATCATGTAGAAACATATAAAAGTAAACCCAATGACCATAACAAAAGTACTCAATGTCCTAAAGGAAGACAGAGCAACAAGAAAATCACCTACAAGGGCCCGACGAAGCAAGGCAGAAGACGAACATTAAGACAATTACATTTTATTTTAATTGAAAGCCACATTCATTCTATCTGCAATACAGAAAGCATTTGCTGATTTTCAGCCAAGCATTTGCTGATTTTCAGCCAAGACATTTTTGATTATCAAATTAAGTAGCTGCTGAAAAAAAATAATAGCCTAATAATATGGTAATTTAAGTTTTGAACAAAGTGAAACCTTAGAACATTGCCAAAGTGTTTGCATCATTTTATTTAAACATTGTAAAGTTAGTGTTTTTCATGTGCCTTATTATGTTTATTGTTAATAGAATAATCCAGACAGAAATCAACAAAGTTTATTAATAATTACCATGAAGATTAAAAGGCAATCATTTTAAGAACAAAAATTATATAAATATCAAGAGCTTAGATGGACTCTGAAGTGCATAATAATTTATTACAAAATTATAAAAATATTTGTACAGTTAATTGACACTAAAAGAATGTAAACAGTATTAAACAGTATGTAATAGATATTTTTGACATAATGCATAATGCCCATCCAAGGCTTTAATTATAATGAGTGTATTGAGTGAACAGGTGAAAGTCAAATAAGTTTAAATCTTGCCATAATTCCTTTCATATTTTATAATGACAATATTATGTACTTTCCATTTATGAACGATAAATCAATGCCATTGGAAATTACCCAAAATGTTCAATTTTTAAAAAGTTTGGGACAGTCTTTTTATATTTTAGGCATACATTATACTTATATTTTATCCTTAACATTTTAAAATATCAGCTGTAGGTCAATAACCTTTTTCAGTCAATTACTTGAAACATAAAGACAATTCAGCATAACTTGACCATGACAAAATAGGCACAATGTCATTTTAATATCATAACCATGTTATTTTGAAATTTAATAGGGTGTACTTTTTCACAATAAAATATTGTTTCAACATCGAAATTAAAGTAAGACGATTTAAATTAACTTTTTAAATATCAAACCTCACATCCTCTATTAGTTTACATAAAAATTGGTCTTGCAATTTAACCAAAGTTGGGTATTATACTAAAGCCAAGAGAAAATTTTCTTGAATGATTTTCCTTTGAACAACATTCAACAAAGAAAAGTTAAACGTTGAATGCCTTTTTTTTTTTGTAAATATTATCAACAGTGTTTAACACTAAAATTTAAGAAGCGTGTTCACTTTTATCACTAGCTTAGGGGAATGAGTACCTATCATATAGCATGAGATTACAAGAAATCCTAAAGAAATGGAAAACTTTTAACCTCTAAATTTAAAACTACTACCCTCTAAATTAAAGTTTTAAGTTTAATTATGTGTAGATCTATTGTCAAACTATAAGAAAAAATAAAAAGTAAATGATATACTTTCAAATTTAAAGTTTTATATTTGGATGGTGTTCACTATGACTAAATCATCAAAAGAGGTTCATAATCATTTAATAAATAGAGGATATTCAAGTTTTTTCTATAAATACATGATTTATTTTCATCGAGTGGTATGAAAATAAATATTTCATGAGTCGGGCGGTAGCCACGAGTGAAATATGGTACTTTCATGCCACAAGATGAAAATAAATCATGTATTTATAGAAAAAACTTGAATTTTCTGTTTATTATATACATTTTTTCTCTTTTTTGACACTAAAATTTGAAAGACTTTCCCTTAAATTTTGTGTACTGGCAGAATTTAAAAGAAAGTAGTCCGGCAAGACACCAGTGAAAATACGGAAAATATGTTTCACTGCAGTGAAAAATAAATTTTTACAGTGAAAATACGAAAAATGAAAATATGCATTTTATTTCATCAATATTTCTCAATATTTCATTTATAAGTATATAATAAATTAGCTATCCATTTATTATATTAAAATATTTATCTTTTTATGTTGTGTAAAGTAAATAAAAGGTGCAATGGAAAATAAATTTTACAATGAAAAGTGAACCACAACTTGTCAACTCAAAATTGCAATAAATTGTGTGACAAATATAATTTGTTATAAATCTGTACTGTAATGTAGCCTACACCATGAATTATAAACAACATAGTCTATTTAAAATTATTATTATTATAATTATTAATTTATTTTTATTAATAATTTATTATTATTATTATGATTATGAATTCATGATTGTCTTATTATTATCATTAGATCACATCATCATTATTATTATTACTATTATCAATTCATTATTATTATTACTAATTTATTATTATTATATTAATCATCATCATTAATAATTTATTATTATTATTATTATTATTATTATTATCAATTCAATTCATTATTATTATTATTACTATTAATTTATTGTTATTATTTTATTTTTATATAATGTAAACTTTATTAATTTTCTATAATTATTATTATCTAATATCTTAATCATGTGACTGATGTTGCATTGAAGTCTGTATCTTTTAATTATTTGTGCATTATTAATTTATCAATTTCCATTTAATGTGATTTTAACCCCTTCTTATCCAACATAAGTCAGCATAAAGCTAGACAAAGTACAATTCACAAAACAATGATTCAATGAATATAAATAATTTAAATTTAACAATCTTTTGAAGATCTAAATCTGAATTGAATAAGAAAACTTCTCTGTCCATATAATATCCTGCTTGATTCAGTGTTCCATGTTCCCACCAAAGACATCAAGAACAAATCCGCTTTAATCGTGGAAAATATCAACAAAATTGCTGCTTATAGGGCACACAGAAAACCACCGACGTCTTATCGATTCATATCTAGAAGATATTACTATCGATTGCTGTTTTGATCAGCGATTTTTTCCATTTTTTTTTTTCAACAATTCATTTCTTCCTTGTTACAATATTCGACGCCAGCGTTAAAAGGAAATGACGTAGATACAGTACCTACGTCATAACCAGGGCAGGGTATAAGTTGTTCCCCAAATAACAGAGACTATTCTATAGAAATAGTCATCACTATATTTGAATGCGAATGAAAAGAGTTTATCTTAAGTGTATTTATATGTCTTCAGAAATACTTTCCGTTGTATAAAAAGAAGCAAAGGAATATCTGAAATAAAGTAAAATTCGTGAAATTGTTTTGTTGCACTTAAACTTTAAAAAGTATTTATCTGAAACATAAGACGGTTTAATTCTAAACTATACAGATGTTATCATAAAGCCTTAATTAACTGAATGAATTAATTATTAATTTACGATTTAATTCATTGAAGTGTTGTTTACTTTTGTTACTTCAAAATGGATTAATTAAAGAAAACAAATACTTATCGTCGTTTCTAAGTTTATATATGATCGTTAGTTATTTCTCATTCATAAAATAATTTTTTATCGGCCATTCTATAGACAGTGGAAGGGAGGCAACTCCTAATCCAGACTGCAAGGATTTTAAATATAACTTACAGAGTTACCTCTCTTCTCATTCAATTATTGACAAAACTACTGAATGAATTTTTCTGGTAATATTGCTTTATAGTGAACACCATAGCGGTTCTCTTAATTTGGTTGATGTAACAGCCGATTTTAACACAATTGTTGGTCATACTTCGGCGGTCGAGCCACATAATTAACTTAACAGTAATTACCAATTTTCTAATCCAGTCAGCGTTGAAAGACAATGACCATTAATATAGGATCAATGCAACGGACATATTACGCCTCGGCTAAGTATCGAACCAGGGACGCCTGAATTATAATTACGACGACAGACAGTTTAAAGGCCAGCGAGGAGTGATTATCAAGATACGGACAAGCTGAGCCATGTTGTCAACAGACATAAAGAGTATGAAAAGAATATGATTAACAGTCCATTTATGGTCAGCCAAAATGATCAATGACATTGTACATTTTGTAATTAACCGACCAGCAAAGTTTTTCGAGGTCCATTTAGTCATGAATTCATGACTAGTTGCGTTCATCCTAGGCTACAGGCACTGAAGATAAATTACTCGCCTTAATTACGTTGTGCGTTTTATGAGTGAAGCAGACGACACTTTGTTATAAAAGGAGCGGATCGTAAGAAAATCATCATCGTGTAAACAGGTAAGTTTAAGATTTTTTCATTTAGATTATAGGTGAATATTTTCGCTAAATGCTTGGGCGAATATTGTATTAAACGTGTCATAAGTGGTTAAAGTATGCATTAAAGCAACTGTACCTTGAACTAAATTTTAACATTGAAACATTTGGAACATTTACAAGGATTTGAAAAACAATCTGGTAAGAACCTTTAAATATATGTTTAATATATGATATGCAAATACAAATGCGTATGCTAAAACACATAATGACGAGTTAAATTATTTAAATATGGCTGGATAAAATTGCACACTCTTTACTTTATTTATTATTTTTAGTCGTGCAATAATATACCAGTCCGTTGTACTTCCGCCCCACCCGAGGAGGAGTTCCAGGGAAATATGCCGTCCGCCCGTCCGTCCCAGCGGTGCTGCGTCAATATGGCGCAAACAAAAATAGCGGAAAATGTCTTCGTTGGCATTTAGCAGATAATAAACAACGTCTTAAGCAGGTTCTGGAGTATTTTTGTTTTGGGTCAGAATCTTGCTGACCAGTCCATGTGCTAGGATTTGTTTGATACTGAGATCCCTCAAACATTCAATGGTTGGTTTCTAATTTAAATCGGGACGTTCATTAAACTTGTTCAGCAATTTTTGAGAAGCTACCTCTCATATCATCGTAATCTGGTTTGAAAAAAACAAACAACCCTTAGGTTAAATTAGATATGAATCAATACAAATCTGTTACAGTGTAACTTTCTAATTACGACAACCTGTTGCTAGATGTCATCATTTTGCTTATTATTGTGTTGTATTATTTGTAAACAATCTGCATAAGAGACCACCTTTCATAAACAAATCATTCTGTTCTGTACAAATAAACGACATTCACACTCCTACGTGATTTTAATCGGTAAAGATAAAAGACTAAAGTGACATATTTAAGGTGCACTGCTTAAGCTCGGATCAGTGTAATTTTAAAGGCCCAGCATGACATTATAACATGATTTTAATATCTTTGTCAATGTTATTTAAAATAACACATGGATTAAAACTTCTGACTGAAACATACCTGAGCATATAGTGCTTATTCTTTTATCAAGGTTTTTAAAATACTTTTAGATTTAATTTTCCATATTTGCTCTTAAAAAGTAGTATGGAAAGTTCAAAATAAAACAGTGTTTTAAGTAATGCTCCCTGGTTCTACGATCAATCAGCTGATTTTTTACAAAATGGACTTCACAAGTTTATATGCTTTGAACGATCCTTTATCAACATTGGGGAATCAAGATAGATATTTATAGTTAGCCAGGGCCTTGTCATACTGTATGGCCTAGCTCTTTACTAGTGGCAAAGGCAGATCACTTCCGGTTTCAGCCGATTAATGACAATGCACTCTCCTGCTCCACGTTATCATTTTCTTTTTGAGTCAGGGTCGTTCAAGCATAATTGTTTTTACAGACCATTTATGAATCAACAGTTTGCTTGAAACTCGACGAAACAGTGATTGTAAGACTAGTTCATGCAACTGATATAAATCACTTTTGAGTCCGCTTAGTACTGATATCATAAGATAAATCTTGCTCATGGCTGTAGTAAATCTCGAATCAAATCATAAACTAAAAATGAATGACATAAGACTTTCTATATCCGAACAACACAGTGGAGAGTATGTGCCGCGCCCTAGATTTGAACACCTTGAAAGTCAAGTCTGTAAACAAGATGCTCTCCCTCTCTACTATTTGAGTATAATGATCATGACCGTTTAGAATATAGAAAACTTGGCAAATATTTCACAGCCTTTGATTTATGACTTCAAAACAGTGTTTGAAGCATTAAACAGAACACAACAAGACACACTCTTTGATGTATGTTTTCATGACTTAAGTTGACTCTAATTGTTGTGTATTGTCTGTTTGATTAGTGTGTCTCTTACATCTTATAACAGCCATTTCTAAACAACATAAACACCACCAACAACAGCTGGTAACTTTAAATACTGTCTAGCTATCTCATTTTGCCCGTGTAAAGATGTATTACTTCATTCTTTCCGGAAAGCTATTTCTTAGCACTATCGGTGAAAACTTATATATACAGTAGAGTTTTAGATTTTTCTCAATCGTATTGCATTTGTAAACATTTTTGTTTTATTTCAGTTTTACCCATTAATTAGACATGTCCCTAACTCCGGAACAGTGCGAGGATTTCTGGCGTATAGCTGATAGAAACGGGGATGGTGTTTTGTCAATACAGGAACTAGCAGCCGCCGCCAGAAAATATCGGCCTGGGATCTCCGACAAAGACTGTACAGTAAGTGTGAAATACAGTAAAAACTCGCTAATGAGACCAATGAAGGGACTTTACAAATCTGGTCTTAATAGCTGGTTGGTCTCATTAATGAGTTTGGTCAAACAGAAAACCAGGCAATATATTAAGGGATACCATGAACTGTACACATGTTTAATTCTGGGCTAACCTATTTCAAATGAGAAGAAATAAAGCATACACTATTACTTTTTTTTCATTTATTTTCTTTTACTTTTTAACATTATAAAATTTTTAAACTTCTTTAGAGGTACAAACTATATTATGAATGTCTTTAAACACAAACATATTTTTACATTCTTGTTAAAAGAATGACACGACTTACTCAATTAAATCACCATTTTACTACAAAGCACACCGAACAATTAACCTCTAATTATTTTTACAGTTTTCATCGCCGATAACAACTTCAAAAACCTAATCGTATCATGTTTATGTTTGTTTAAAATTATGGAACGAAAGAGATAATGATAGCAGCAACACCTCTTAAAAACTTATTGAAAGTTTTCTGTTCAATATTTTGTTGTTTTAATCCTCCAGTTATGACATTAAAGGTGTGAAATTAAGAAATTATCGACAATATTATTGATCATTTCCGGGTTTGATACAAAGTAACCTTGACCTCTGCCGTAAATTGGATGTCGTTAAATGTCGTAAAACTAGGACAACTATTGTTTACATCACGTGTCAAAAAGATTTCAGCAATATATATGCATGTCAATATCAAGGTGAGAAAGTGCCCGCGGTCGTATTTATGGGTTTCCAAATGTACAGAATTTAACAAATGGGACTGAATTTACTGGTCGTATTACGGAATAACGGGGTGGTCTCAAAATCGGGGTTAGCGACCATTACAATAAAGAATAAAAAAATCGGGTCTTTAAAGGGGCTACACTGAGGTCTGACGGGTAATTTGGTGTCCAAAAAAAATGTATACAAATTTCCCCACAAATCACAATATTATGACTAAAATAACAATAACTTACACTTTAACCAACCCTCTAACAACAATTATGCTAGAAAATGCATATTCACATTAGCTTTTGATGCAAAAATGAAAGTTGGTTTTCCCAGACATGTACAGAAGTTACCCACAATTCATCGGGTATAACTAAAATACGCAACGGACATTTTTGGAACAACAGAGTAAATGGGGGTAAAAAAGTCTATTGATTTTTTCTCAACTCTCTAACCTATCATGTTTATATAACTTGAAGAAAAACTGTATAAAAGATAATCAAGGTAGCAATTTCGTTGTCTTGAAAAATCAAACGCAAGCGAAGCGGACATTTTCTAGACAAAACGGAAAGATATTATATACATGTACGATTATTTTCATTGACATTTCAGTTTCAATTTCAATATTCTAAGGCAAACATAATGCATCGGTGATATTTATACTAAAACGAGCACAGTGTACTCACACTAATAAAAGTATTTAACGCTATCTTATAACGTATTTAAATCAAATACAGTTAATGACATGTCTCATTTGATTTGATTGTTCGTTTTGGGGATGGAGTGGGGGTTACGTCACACAAAACTGTGTAGGTCATTTTGGCGACTCTTCAGTTTTACTGGTGGAGAAAGAACTCAGGTGCCCCCTTTGCAAAATTGTTTCTGGCACAAACTGGCATCTGTGTATGTAATGAGTGACGTTTCGTAGGCTATCTTGATAGGATCGTACATACACGTTCCACACACAATTACATCATATTCATACCATAGGCAAAATTAAATGCACGTTTCCTGTTGTAACAATATGAAACCCCAGAAAAAAAACAGCTTCTGAATGTGGCATTTCTATCGTTATTCCATAAAAGCACCCCCCCCCCCCAAAAAAAAAAAAGAATGAGTACATCAGATGGGCATGCTTCTGGAGTGTTGGTTATTTATTACCTGCACTCCAGTTACGCACTGTGCATGTATATGAATTCGATTTAACTCTGACACGTTTTCAACAGAAAAGTCTTCAAACTATGATACAATAAATGTTTATGATTCTATTAGAAACTTGTTTAGAATTTAATGATTTTTGGTGAAAACGATATAGTTTACTTGTACTACAGATAAGATCAAAGTGCTGAAGGCACTGAAGAAAAAACCGGATAAACTATCACATTTTTACTCCAGTTTAACAGGTAAATTAATTTTATATTGCGGTTTACATCTTAATATCAGCTAACCTTTGCTTTTTGAGACTTTTGTTTTTGAAAATAATCTAAACGAGTAAAATAAATCCTCTTTTATGGGCAAATAATTTAATAAGTAGCATCCCCGATTTCTCTTTCATAAATTGGCTTTAGCAAATTCTTTTCTATTCAAATATTAAGAACATTCTGTCAGTGACGTGTTCTTCTACTTGAAATCTTCCTGGTGCGTATTTTCGGTAACAGGAAGAAAATGACAGTCTGTTTCTATCTTTCGTAACAGGAAGAAAATGACAGTCTGTTCATTTGATCTTGACTGTGAAAAATCATGTTTTGTGAACCAATTTATCCTGCCGATAAAGATTTTGCAAGCAATCTGGTGGTTTATGTTCTAGTGCTTACACTTAGTTTTTAATTCCAAAGAACATTTCTTAGGAGACCTTTAACGTTTGATTACGGTATAATCACTATAACCGAAATACTTAGGAATTAATTTTAATTCCTGTTACTGTGAAATTTTTCGTTCACATGTTTTAAAATACTTAAGTAGCTCTAAAAATTTTCAAAACGATATCCAGTATTTCCGAAACAATTTACAAAGGCTTTTAATACACAATCTTATAAATCTTAAAGTATTACGAGAACCACCCACCTAATCTCCAGAAATACATACGAAAAAACAAGATAAATCAAAAGGCTGCAAAGCTCTGTGGTATTTTCTGATCTTTGCAATATAAATCACACTGTATAACTGTATTATTTTCCTGTATAAGTTTTTTTATGTACTATAATTCTTCTTGCTTGGTACCAGAGTTTGATACATATGGAATTTTGCAGGACTAGAGTTGCATCAAAAAATCATTTATGTTCATTTTTATGACAGCCACACTTTATCCTTGCATATCGTGGCTATTTCCTTAACAAAGAAACTTTATAAAAAATAATTGTCTTGAATTGGATTTGAACCCCAGACACACTAAACGAGCGCGTTACCCTTGCACCACGGAGAAGATATATGAACAATGCCTGAATAAAATCAAGTAATACTAAATTTAGATTTTTCACTGCATTTCGGGTTAATTTTCGAGGTTTTTTTGTTCAAGATAAACCTGTTCTTTAACACATTGATGTAAATAATTAAACAAAAATCTTCTCGCCAAAACAGTCCGACATGTATATATTCCACTACTCGACAGTCAGATTTATTTGTGTGAAAATAAGCTCTCGACATCGCTTAAAAATAGCATTTTCATTGATTAAAATGATATTCATCCGCGTAATTTGTTGTGAATGTGCATTCATTTGACAATTCTATAAGCCAAAGCTACTTTTAAACTTTGAATGCGTTGTAATTTGTTGGATACTTATTACAAAATGAAAATATTTCTTTCTTTTAAATCGGTAGTTTTCAGCTGTTTTAAGAACTGTTTGATGTTAGTTTTGTCGTGAAACCGCTGTGTCAGAGATTGAATGTTAGCTTTGTATTTCCTGATCTTCGATCAGAAATACAAAAAGGAATGGTAACATTCAATGAATACAACACCCACACGACCAAGCAACACATGACCACAGCTAAATTATCAATGAAAACATTAATTTCAGGCTTTCAAGTGGTAAATAAAAAGAAAACAACAAAAATGAAAAACAGGAAGAAAGAAGAGACAAAAGTAGAGAAAAAAAAAGGTTTTAGTGCTATAAAGCAAGAAAAGCAGCGTTCTCTCCCTAACTTATTTATGCAATGAATGCATCCGATCAATATTTAGCCATTGTAGTTTTTGAAACCAGTCACTCGTGTTTTCAAAATAGTCGGGAAATGAACCTGACATTTTTTATCAAAACATTTACAAAACTGATTAACAATGAGTATGCCATGATAAACAGGCTATAAGGAGTAAAAACAATGGTTTAGATATGCATTGCCCTTTATCGTCTAGGAGTTGGGAAGTATTATAAAACATAGTTTAAGCAATGAATGTTGTATGAGGTGAGGTTAATAATATCTTACTGAATTCTTAAAGTTACTTTTACTTACCTGCCCTTCACATTTGTCTTGCTGTATCATGATTTTGTTTGTTTCGTTTAATTTGAAAGAAAGTTGGGTTTAAAGAACAACAACTATATAATCAGTTTTAAGTTATTTCACTAGTCACGGCAATAACCCTGCTGTGGAAGCTTTTACTATGTCGGGGGCTGCGTCATGTGAACGTTGCCGTCGCCTTGATTGTGTTTATTCCAGTTTTTCCTTTTTTACTCTTATAACGCTCTCAATTTCTTTTCCACCGGGAAGCTTTCAATATATTGGAACATTAAAGCACAGCTCAATTGACCCATCACTAATACGGAGGCCTTCCAATAAGAAAGAAATTTATCAGGATATCTGCTAAATCAATAGTGATAATAACAATATTAATAGAGCCAGATTGTAACTCTTTTCCGACCTTCTTGATAATGTTTACCATGTGCATGAAACAGGTATCAATTACCTATAGTTTTGAATGTCTATATCAAAACGTAGTAATCTTCTCATCAACAAAGTTTACATCCAATGCGGATAAATATGCAAGTATGTATGTAAAATGATAAATATTAAATTTCAGATCTATCTAGCAAAGGAGATCGATTTTTCTTTAAAGAATTTTAATTATGTGCACTAGACATACATTAGAAATATTATCTAATAAAGTTGAAGCCTAAATGTCCTATAATGAGGCCGGATTCATTCTCTATTAAGCCAGTGCTTCAGTGCTTTGATCAGAGTTAAAGAGAAATCTCTGGGATAACATTCTGTGTGTGCGTGTGACTTTTTTATGCTTACAATACTCAAGTTCATGTTCGTTGTATAAAAGGTATTACGAAGTTTTTTTTTCCTGAACGGGTGTCAGATAAACCAAAGTGACCTTTGAAATAGGACCCATTACACTGATTGACAAAGTAAATTTTCTTAGCCTAGATATCATGATATTTTAACCATTACAAAGTTAATACATAATATTTAATAATTACACGAAAGCTCTCAAATTAACATAGAATATTTGTAAAATTTGTGTATGTCAGTTTCCAACTCCGTACGTTTAGCTAAATTCGTCATTGTAATGGAGAAAAAACATGATTACAACAATGTAATGCTTTAAATATATTGAAATTGCTTTTGAAAGATTTTTCTCACAAGAACATATGTGAACAACAAGAAATTTAACAAACAAACCCATTATTTGCTTTTAAATTTATGGATTGTTGGTATATTCCGGTTTCGCACTTTTGTTGCTGCCGATACACAAAAAATTCTCCGTTTCGCTTTTTAGTCATCCCGAAAATCATCACGTGACCGTTGTTTTTATTCAGATTTGCAAACTGAAAGGTGTTTAAACGCTTTTCCCACAAAATTGGAGAAAATATGTATTTCAAACGACTTGCCAATCCAAAGAACACATGTCAATGTATCACTGATTCTGTTTGAATGTCCCTAACTCGCAGGTAATAAAAAATTATCGGTTCGTGAAATTTTACTTTTTTTTGTGACATTCGGCCGTACCTCAGTGGAGTACCTTTAAAAAATCGTTTGTATTAGCGGGTTGGTCTTGAAAACGGGGTGGTCGTAAAGCGGGTTTTTACTGTACATTAGAAAAGTTTCACACTGACCATCACTATTTTATATCTCCAGAATTTAGTTTATGCTCTAAAACAATGTTCCATTGAACTGCACGTAATTTTTGTTTTTACACATTTTATGGCTGCATGTCCCCAGATGGACCAAAATATTTCAAGAAAATCAAATTTTAGAAAATTGAATTAAGATTTTAGGGAAAGTTAAACGATTTTCCAGATTGAAATTAATAATATACAAATAATATGCGACTAATGACTGTCTTTGCGATGTTTATCACTATATTTCTACTTCGTCACTAACGTAATAAAGGCTTTTTTTGCTTATTTTTACCTTATTTGGTTGTACAATTATGTTTACAATCTGCAAATTACTTTCTACGTTCACTTCGCAGTATTTTACTTTTGAATACATTTTCAAAATTTTCATGAAAGTTAGCATGAATTTTGAGACATGTTGCTTTGATAGTTATGCACGCTATTTGAGTGATAAGTGTTAATTAATTAAAAGTGGGCATCAACTTGAAGACCTGCGAGATTCTCTCTCTCTGATTTTCACGTACTGCGACTAATGCAATATTCGCCGTAAATTGTTTTGTCAAGAAAACAGAACCACCACAATCACCTGCACATTCACCATTCACCTGACAGTGCGGGGACAGAGGAAGTTTTCTAACATCATTTCCCAACTTACTTTAACCTTCCAATCCCTGATACCTTGCGCCCCAACTCCTTAGGTTATATCAAATATACGCAAATAAAAAACTTGGTTTCATAATTGATCAAATAAAATTTAATACGTAACAATATTTATTATATGAACTGTTTTACCAGAAGGATAATAAACAGAGATAATAAAGACCATATTTAATATATCATTATGTTACGTGACTTACTACATTCATGGTGCAGGACCTATTCTTACACTTAATAAATTATTATGTTATATTTTTTCAGTGCATGTTTTGTGGTATAGACAAGAATGGAGATGGTTCAATTACCAAGCAGGAATTTCTGGCCGAGATGAGGGACAAGCCAAAACGCTCGTGAGTATTATAACCAGCATATAACCCTTAATCAGCTAGAACCGGAAGTGTTCCGGTTAAGTACAAGGCTACCTTGCATTTCCGTGCAATATGATCAGACTTTCCTAACTGATGGTAGCTCAGTTTTCATTTAATACAAAATGTATTTGTATTGTGATATTGAAACCCTTTAGACATTGAATGAATTATTACAACTTCAACCCAAGCCAAATTCAGGAAAAGAATAATCTGCGGGTACTAACATAAAGATACAGATTATTTTCATTGTTGTCGTTACCTACATTTTTATGACAAGTAGCTTTCATAAACTAACATTGTTCAGTTATAGTTGATTGAAACACTCTTTTTAACCGTTTTTTTACAGCGAAACATCCTTAAAATGTAGCAAAACACTCTTTTTAACTGTTTTTATACCGAAACTGTTGACACCGAGACACTCTTCTTTTTACAAAAAAAAAACACTGTCCACTTATTGTTTCTTTTTTATGGTGAAAATCTTTTTCTGTTAACTGTATGCTTTTTGTATTTTCTGATCGTAAGATCAGTAAATACATAGCTAACATCCACGGTCTAACACAAAATTTCCTTACAGTCCTAACAACGCAAAGTAGTTCTCACTCAAAACTGCTTAAAAACCAGCAATTTAAAAGAAAGAATAATTTTTAATGTAGGCATTTAACAAATTACAGTGCATTAAAAGTTTAGATTAGTCAATAGAAATATGAGGTTACAATCACAAATTTCGCGGATGAATATCTTTTTTACCCAATGAAAAATGTTCGGCTATTTCCGTAAAGCTTCGGATTATCATGAATATCATTTTAATAATTGAAAATGCTATTTTTAGCTATGTCGATAGAGCGTAGTACACAAATAAATCTGACTGTCGAGTAGTGGAATATATACATGTCGGACTGTTTTGGCGAGAAGATTTTCCCATCAGTGTTAAACAACAGGTTTATCGTGAACAAAACACGAAAGGGAAATTCTCAATTTAGAATTACATAATGTATTCGTTTTTATTCAAGGTACATATGTATTACTTTGCCGTGGTGCAGAGGTAAGCGGTCTCGTTGAGGGTGTGAGAGGCCTATGGTTCAAATCCTAGTCGAGGCAATTCTATTTTTATTTTTTTTTCATGCAAAATTCCATATGTATCAATCTCAAACTGTTATAGAAGAAAATCAAAACGCTGTCGCTGCGTAAGACGAATTATAGTATATAAAAATAAACTTATACAGGAAAGTACATACAGATAGTCAGTATGATTTAGATTGCAAAGATCAGAAAATACCATAGAGCTGCAGCCCTTTGATTAAATCAAGATTTATATTAACGACAATAACACTTTTAAATTTTTACTTTAAAAAAAGAAAACACTCTTTTGATTTTTTAAATTTATATTGTACAGTTATGGTTGATTTTATTTATATTTATTCTTTTAACTTTTTTATTTACAGAGAAACACTCCTTCAACTGTTTAAAAAGTATGATAAAGATGGGAGCGGCACCCTGACCAAGAACGAAGTTAGCCAACTGATACGAGAATGTTTCAAGCAAAACAAGAAACCAGATGAAATTGTTGAAACCTTCATGCAATATTCCGACACGAGCGGAGACGGCGTCATTTCATGGGAAGAGTTCAAAGATTTCTTTGGATAGATATTACTTACTATTCTCATGTTGCCGTTTATCTTTTATATATCCAGTCACCGCTGTATGTCCTGTAATTATTATTTTATCATTTATAAAGGCACGGCACATAATGTTCGGCTTCGGATTCATTAACATAACAGAATTCCATATTCACATAGATTTTATAAAACACATGAACAATTCTCTGTTGTTTGTTCTTAACAATTCATGTAAAATAAATAAAAGCTATTTTTACAAATGTGAGATCAGCAACAATGTTTAATGCATGAACAAAATCTGACTGAATCATCACTTCCATCCCCAGTGCCCAATTCTTCATTAGCTGATCAGACACAGAATAACAATGATTTGTTTAATGTTGACAGGAATTTATAATTGTATTATGTCCTTATTTTTTTGTAACCGCACATATAAATTACATAGAACATATTATAATAATGATTTGTTGGATATTGAAAGACAGTGTATTAATTGAACATGTTTCAATTGTAACTGTAAATACAATGCTGTTCCGTTCGCATAGTTTAAATATAATAAATATTTGTATTAAATAATTTCAATTCTTGTTTTATGAAAGAGACGGATCAATAAGACACCATTATAAAACAGTTGCCTCCCTTCTAACTGTTTTGACATATTTTTTTATCAATAATACAAAATCAATACAAAATATGAAACAAAAAGGTTCGCACTATACTTTGATGTACAGTAACATAATCCTATATTGGACTGTCGGTCCTGATTAATAATATCAAAGTAACTACATTCACAGACGCTTGGGGTAATATGATTCCGCGTCTACATACAGCATGGCATTTTTCTCTCTTTCAAATGGCTCCCTCGATGAAAGAGGCCTTATACCATAAAGCTGTTATGGCAACCTGGATTCCATTGGTAGAAAAATGACTTACTGGTAACTTAAAACAATTTTGCATATTGTAACGACCTAGAACATATAATTACGTAAATTATAACTTGAATCTTGATTATTTTTACTTTTCTTAAAGACTTAATACGTTTTGATCAAGTTGATCAAGTCATTTTGTTGAAATTTTTTGGTTAGCCTGGGGGAATGCAGCTTTTAACAGTATATAATATATTGCTATATTTCAACAAATTTGCCTTCGATAAAAATCTTACACGTGGTTAATCAAGTATTAAAAAATATATAATCTGCGCTGATTCTTTGCTACACTGACGCTGATGACTTCTATATATGACTGTAGGCACTTTCCATGACCATGCTGACGTCGAAACCAATCTCAACCTTCAGTTAGTTTATTCGGATCATGGGTTATCAGCACAATGTTCGAAATGTAACCACTACTAACTTAAAGCGCCAGGGACTACCTTAAAATTTCTCTTTCTCTTCGCGTCGGTACGAGCAGGTCGTAGAGAAAGCACGGGACATCGTTAGAAGATATACAGCTTGGACATGTTGACTCGTTAAGATCCGAACATCGATTTTGTATACATATAGCTTGGGCAGTATCTGAAAACAAACTAATCCTGTCAATATTCTGACGGGAGTGGTCCTATAGAGTAGACAGGGACGACGTGGGGTGCGTGAGCCCCTAGTTTAGAGAGTTGCAAAATGCATCCCATGCATACAAAGTACGTATTACAAATAAGAATATAATAGAGTCAAATGGTTAATGTCAAAACTTTATAAAACATATACCATTTAGGGGAATTTGGGTGTGTGAACGTGGCGTCCATTACTGGCAACAACAGCATTCATCAGGGCTAACCTTCTTCTTTATTGTCACTGGTTACTGTACGGTTAGGTTATTATTGACCGTTTAACAGTGATCTACTTTAGGCTGATTCATTTCATTGGCTAATGTGGAAATTGTATGGAGGAAAATTATCACCATTAGCCTTAAAATAAACGCTTTTATAGAGAATAACATGCTACTGTCTTTTGATATCAATTTTATCAGGCGAGGCTGATATGGGCTAGAAAGGGCGAGGCTTGCCGAGCCCTTTCTGCCCATATCAGCCGAGCCTGATAAAATTGATATCAAAAGACAGTAGCATGTTTTTCTATTTATCATGTATTACATAATAACTGTCAAAATAACAAAATTATCTACTTTTAAATAGCGAATTTCTTTAAAAAGGGGGATTTTTGTTCAAAGAAATAATTCTTGAAAGCAAATTCCTCCGCCCCTGAAACATAGAATTTTCAGTAAATGGCCGCCATTTTCTCTTTCGACTCGGATAAAAGATGCAAAAGAATGTAGGCCTAATACGATAAAATTCTTACCTTTAATTTAAACATTGATCCAAAAATCCACTTAGAATCACATAAACTAAACTTTACTGCAATATTTGTCTTGAATTGTCAAATTCAAAAGTTCATCATAGAAAAGTCAAATCGGCAATCAAACACAAGCTACTGTACACAAACATGCGTCTTATTTTTTAAACAAAACAATTTGTTCACTTATTAAATAATAATCAGGCGAAATTAAGTAAACAGTTACAAGTTCTCAAAGAAAATCGTCCAGCCTGTTTGTTATGATTACATGTATAGTATGACGTGAACATCGATGATGTCATTTGCAATATAAATTATGACGTCACTTCATTTAGTTGGTGCTAAAACTATTCGCTATCTAATTTATTCGTAATTGAAATCGAAATAATAAATAAAAAATATCGCATCTTGATTCAAGACTTGTAAGGTATGAGATTACATGTACATTGTAGAATTCACATGCTGGTGAAAATAAGAATATAAGCAATTGAAAAAAGTCCGTTAAAATGGGCGGGGCTTATTTTTGATATCAGGTTACTGACCTGATATCAAAAATAATTATCAGGCAAGTGTTATCGGGCAGTTACCATAGCAGTTGCATGATAAAATGGTATGACTGGTGACATTTCCGAGGTCCGTACTAGACAGAGAAATCTGCATTTTGTACCTCAACGAGCGGACAGACCCTCATTTAGCATAAACTACATTGTATATAAATGAAACTTAAACCTAACCTCTAGGCGGTTCTTTCTTACAAAAAAAGGTTATTATAAGATAATCTTGATACATTACTTGTATTTAGCAAAGAACGGATCACACTCGGCTAGGAACCCTAGGGTTTTTAGCATACAGTACTGGAAACGCTGTGAACGTGTGCGCCTCGTGTCCACTATAAAGGCTAGGGTCAAATGATTCTGATTTTATTTTCATTATTCCATGAAACTAAAATTGATCCTTGAAGGATTAAAATGTAAAGAATTGCTGATTTGCAAAGAAATAACCCTATTTTTAGATAAAATTGAGGAAGAAAATACAAATACAAGAATAATTGGATCAAAATAAGGATGAAGTTTAGGATCAAGATCAATATTTGTATAAACTGTATAAATATAAACTGTTAAATGAAAATACAATGTACATGTATATTGTTAAGTCATAATAAAATAAATCTTAAATTCAAAGACATACTATTTCAAGACCACTTTTATTTAGAATATTAAATCTGAGGATAAACAATGTAGAGTATTACAGTTTTCAATTTTGATCCTTTTCGTTATATCTTATCAAACACGGGTCACCAGTAGCAACTTTTGGCCCCTGCCGCCAGTTAGACTAATATTATGGATAATAGCCGAGGCGTTCCGATTGTGGAGCCCAGATGGTAATAAAGAGTATTATGGATAATAGCCGAGGCGTTCCGATTGTGGAGCCAGACGGTAATAAAGAGTCAGTTTTGAGAAGAGGAGGTCGGTAGCTCGATCCTTCAGAACATATAAAAAGCATATAAACCATAAATATGTACTGGTAAGAGCTACTTCACACGCGCTTTCGAATCTTGAAAATGCATAGAACCTGTCTAGTAACACTCGAGATGTACTCTTGTACCACAAATCATTGGATATATACACTGCTTAGAGCAAACAAAAACTATAACAATATAAACAAACAATAAACAATAACAAAATGCCTTTTAAGTATACAAGATATAACGCAATTTAATTTGCTGTACACACATCTACATTGTAAAAATAAAAACAATTTACTTTCCAAAGCGCATCTACATAAATCAGTTGTCAAAATTTGTTTAATGGTGTGTCAAATACAATATAAAAAGGTAGCTATATAGTGTACCTAGATGACAATATGTTACCTGTATTTATATGACATGACGAATGTTACAGTCACGGTAACGTTCATGATTGTCGTCTACGTTACCACAAATACTTGTAACGGTATGTCGTTGTTAAAGAGCTTTGGCACAGCCATGGTATGAACTGATTAAGGAAAAATATAACACTTTTTAAATGCTCATAACAGCTATTCATAGATGTTGTTGTCGAAATTTGTTGACAAATATAAAAGATTAGTCATTTGTTTATTATTCCATCATTTTTTTTTATAAACAATCTAATATCTATGGGCTATTGTGATTACAAGCATCTTCCAATCACTGTATCATTCATTTATATACTTTTGCGACCACAATAAGTAGATGTGTTTTTCACAGTGGGACTGTAACATTGCCATTTTTCCCCTCTTTCTCTCCCAGCCCCCACCACCCCCCAAAAAAAATCTTAAGAAATCCGAGTGCGGTAAATAAACATAGTGCAGTGACGATGTACTATGTACAAATCCAAATTAAAACTATGTTCTGTTCTGGTAATAGTCTCCTACATACGGGGCCCTTACATACGGGGTATGAACTTTTCGACTGATTCGGGGAAAAACATAAAATTTATTCATTTTTAACCTGATGACTTTGTATAACGGATTTGTCCTGCTTTAAATATTCGGCAAATTCTATTTGAAATAAATGGAATTTCAATTTCAAAATACTCAAATTGAGTATCCCACAATATTATACAGACATGCAGCTAGTTGCAAAAGGTAATCAGTCGGTTACATAAAAACTTATATTGAACGAACTTTGAATGAAAGTACAATATTTAGCATACTTTATCTAATGGTGAAAATTAATGCTTATATCTTTATTTTAATTACGAGTAATAAAGCGTTACATTTGCGTGTAGACCGTTTACATGTGTATACTGGTATTTGTAATAAACAAAACATGTGCTTAACAAATTTCTTGTTTAACAAGTTACTTATGAGAGGCGAATGGGGGAAATCTTTTTAAATAAAAGTCAACCCAGAAAAGAATTATATTTCTCAATCTGGCATATTAATGGTGATTAATTAAAAATGCTCATTTAGCCAACAACTTTACCAACAAAATGTGACCTTAAAGATGAAAGGATATTGATAAATAACTGTCCGGGTCATTAATAGAAATTAACATCTATGATAATTGTTTTCCTACCTACTTGGGAGATGCTTTTAAACAATCCTCTTTTTTTTTTTGGGGGGGGGGGGGGGGTGAGGATAGTGAACTGGACCTAAATTCAAACCGGAAGCCCTGAGGCCTTCCTGAGTCGTCTGCAATGACACTTATGAGTTTACTCCAGAAGTTGAATTAGACTACAAAAGATGTTGAGACAAATAAATTATTAATGACACGAAACATACTTTGGATTGTCACATAACGTACGGTAATTGATGATGAGAAAACAATTTGAACACGCGTTATTTGTAAAAGCAGACAACCTCCCTCAGGTCATTTGATTTATGATTCCCGCCAAAATAGCGGACATATTTGTGGGACGAGTCGAATGATTCATACGACTTAAATTTAACAACATTGTTGTAATCTCTTCAGGAGCAAACACTTGTGATTTAGCGAAACAAGAGCGAGTGTCTGAACTTCGACTGACCGGAATTTCTAACAGGTTGGTGGGTTTAAATCTTTTTGAAGAAGATTTACTTGTACTTAGACGTAGATATAGATTTAAAAGAAATAAGGATTTATCATATAATTAAATCTTAGATAATTGTGTTGTGAGATGAAATTGATGAAATCTCACACAAATATTGAAATACGTACTTTATCATTTTCTGTAGAGGGTTTTTGGATTTTACAACAAACATCGGTGAGAGATATTATCTTCTTTCTGTTATCATTTTCTTTAAATTCATCAAATTTACTTTAAGATTTATTCAATGTTTACATACCTTGATTGAATATTTTATCTAGAAAAAAATGATCGATACATATTATCTTGCTATCATTTTTAGTGTGTTCAAAAATAAGAAAATTAGATCTAAATCGGTTAAGCTTAATTGCGTGAAAGTGGTGGACTTAGGCAGACGGTGTTCATTTATCACATTTAACAAACCTACATAGGTTACAGGTTACCATGAATTCACCATAGTCTGGTCAACGTTGATTCAAAATAGGCTTTGCTTATGAGCAAGTGATAAAGAATACAGTGGTTTCAGAATATAAGCGTTAAATGTGAATCATTGCTGTGACTGAATATACCTACATATTATATTAATAAATTGTTCTATGCAAATCTAATGCCATAAAGCACATTGAATTAACGCCAAACTACTAAGCGTCTATTACTTGGCCAATAATTTTAGCGGGAGTTGGCCTTGTTTGTTTCTTTTTATCCAGGGACTGCGGGTTCAAAACCTACTTGGTCTCCTGATAAGATTTCATCAATTGTAACATACCGGAAGCAATGTGGACCGTGATTCAATTTGACTTCTTTTTTTCACCATTTAATAAGTTATTTTTTTTTCTTTTGGTTTATTTACTATTGTGATGCCCCAACCAAAGAGCTCATGCTCTGTTCAAGAGGCGACCATGGTTCTTTTAAATGCCCTGTGTTGAACATCCATACACTAGACCTCGGGTCTTAACTTATCTTTCCAAACACCAAAAGTATTATTAGGGCGGAGAGGGAAGGGAGGGGGGTTAGAACCCCCCGCCAGTCCACCACGTTACTTTTCCTTATTACCTGATCTCGTTTTATTACTATCTTATCATTTTGTGTAAATGGCAAGTTGACAATGATATTGCAATATATTAATCATTGTAATAAATTATCTACCTTTATTCTTAACGCCCTGATGATAAAACAGTACAAGATTAATTTTCAAAACGTTTGGTAACTCCCCTTTATCATATGTTTCCTTTAAAATTGTGTCGTAAAATCAGTTTGGTTGTTTATCTTTTTATGTTAATTTTTACGATAGGCAAACACACACTTTTATACGAGAAAATAAATATCGTATTTGCATATTTAAAGCAGCTCGCTCAGAGGTTTTCAAACAAATATGTTGAATGAACTTTTCCATCTTTAAATCTGGATAAACCCATTCATCATTATAAGGGAAATTTTCAAAAAATATAAATGAGCCGTGTCACGACAAAACCAACAAAATGGGTATGCGACCAGCATGGATCCAGACCAGCCTGCGCATCCGCGCAGTCTGATCAGGATCCATGCTGTTCGCTTACAGGATCCATGCTGTTCGCTATCAGTTTCTTTACTTGTTATAGGGTTTGTAAGCGAACAGCATGGATCCTGATTAGACTGCGCGGATGCGCAGGCTGGTCTGGATCCATGCTGGTCGCAAACGCACTATGTTGGTTTTGTCGTGACACGGCTCAAATACTGACTGTACAGAGAACAGTGCAGACCATGATCTGAAGGCTAGAATGTGCCAGTTGATCTTGGTCGGCACTGGTCACGAAGATAAAATCTGTTGCCGACAGCAGTCTAAGGACAATTTAGAGTGAACATGTTTTAACGGGATTTATAATAAAGTATGTAAAAGAAAGGAACCTGGGGTAAATCCAACAACTATTTTATTTAAAGACTTTGACAATTATAACAATGTTTCATGTTTGATTGAATTTTGACGAAATACTTTTCATTTTAAGCACCGGAATCGGAACTATGTTATAGCGCATGCGCTTCCAACAAGCAATGATCATGTTTGTAACTTCAATTAAAATGACAACGTGTGGCAATTGTTTCGCTCATTAATAAGACAAGCTTACCAGGTGTGTTATTTTCGTATATTCCAGATTATCAATTTTAAGCCGAATTATGCCTTTGACACCACAGCAAGCTGAAGAGTTTTGGTCATGTGCCGACTGCGATGGCAACGGTAAAATGACTATTAAGGAGCTGAAGGCTGCCATGACTACAAAATACAATGCAAATCTCAGCGATGCTGACGTTGCAGTAAGTTAATAAGATCATTTTGTACATTTTAATAAGTATTTGATATTTGACGTTTTTATACTATTTTTCCTTTTGATCCCATATACAGGTATGGCCTTGCCAAAGCAAAAATGTTTTTGAAACATAAATTTTCTCTACAAACATAAATAAGACATTTTGACATTTTTAGATAGACATTTCTTTTTTTCTTCTGAGAATGCCTCAAATAACACGAGGAAAAGGCAAGAACAAGTTTGCTTAAATGATACGACAGTGACTTTTTTTTCTTTTTTTTTTCAATTTTGCCAGTGTAACCGAATACAATGTACGTCTTTTGTTTTAAAAATGTTATGTACTACACAAATAACAAACATTTAGTGTAACTACTTGGAGACCTTTCTATAACTCGAGATTATGTTAAAATCTTTTTTTTTTTCAGAAAATATTTTGCGACATTGATAAGAGTGGTGATTCTGTTATCACTAAGGAAGAGTTCATGGACGAGATGGTCAACAAAGTTTCACGCTCGTAAGTTGAAGCAGTCTCATTTGTTTATACGAATTTATACTATAAGTTCTATTGTTTTGATAGCTATAAGCTGATTGAAACACTTTTGAATCTGTTCCTGGGACCAACCGTCTACACTAAGCTAAAAACTGCCTATCTTTATTATTTATAAAACGAACACTTACAGTCAAACAGCCAACAGTTAGGTCAACAATCAACTTCTAGCATGTCAGCCAAAATTTGATATGTCAAATTTGATGTTGGTCTTATTATAATTGTTGCTTTTCTGCAAGAAAAATACAGTACATCAAAACAAATGCTACGACTGAGAGACTTTCTACGTCTGACCTTTAAGAGCGACCATGACATTGTGGCAGCAACCAGGTTATTGCGCTCTTAATAGTGATCATTTGTGACAAGTAATTTTTAAATTTTTTCGTTAGTTTAAAAATGTTATTGAGTGGACATAAAATGTGGACATTTTACATTTGACCTTGTTGTTGCACTCTGCACCTTGTCTCATAATGTTGATCATGTGTGCCAAGTTATCATAAAACTTTTATTCAGATGAAAATGTTACTTCTGATGAAAATGTTACGGACGAACGGGCGTTCTTTCTGAGTTGACATTATTGTTTATTTTTTCTTTCATCTTCTTTGATCTCTAAAACCCCATAAGCAACGAATTTGCATCCCGTAAGCAGCAAGTTAAAGGTATGTACGGAGTAGAAATGGATATTCACCCCATAATATTACTTGAGGCCGCACGGACAGACTGACAAACGGATATACCGACAAACGAAGATCATTCCTATATTCACTCCCCGCAACGCGTCAGGGGATTAACAAGATGTGTTTGTTACGAAATGTTCAATTGACTTATCAAAGCGTTTCAATAATTTACTCTGTATTGTAGGATATACATAAAAGATATACATCTTACCCTGAGGTTTTATATTTAATGTTTTTGGTGTTTGATTTTTCTTCTGATAACAACTATAAAGGAATGTTACAGATTTGTTTGGGCTTATAAATATGCCAGCCCTCGGATTAATAAACCGAACGACAAGAATAACATTTGAGTTAACCTGACCTTTACTTAAGTATTACACTGAAATGAACTAAAAGCCAGTAATATCTCAAATAAATCGACAAAACTAGTAGAATCACCAATAAAATGACCAGACGACGAATAGAATCACCAATAAATTGACAAGACCCCACTCGTGAGAATACTGTTTTTAAAGCCCACTCGATGAAATAAAATTTCATCTTACACATGCACAAACAAACAAATATCCTCTATATATTCTTTCATATTAGGTAGACTTTATTTTCTCACAATATATCTTACTGTATCTTTTCAGAGACGGTTTGTGCAAGTTGTTCAAAGAGTTCGACGTTAGTGGAGACGGTCAACTCTCTAAGGCTGAAGTAGGCAAACTGCTCGCTAGGTTCTTCAAGGAAAGAGATCCTGAAGAGATTTTGGAAGAATTCCTACAGTATGCTGACACTAGTAAAGATGGTGTTATCACTTATGAAGAATTCGAAGCTTTCTTCCGCTAATTGATGTGTCATTCATTCTAGTTCCATATTATAATATTAATTGAATTTATTTAAAATTTAGATTTAGAAAGAATATCACAAGCTTTAAAAGCACTTTAATATATATATGAAATAAATAGACTAGAAAAAATAATATTGATGATTATTGAAATATTAGTAGTTTGTAAAATCTTCTTTTTTTGTCATTGATATCATTAAATACGCACAATGTAAAACTTGCGTTCTTCTTACACACATTGGTTAAAAATACTCCAATTTAAGAAATCGAAATATCGTTAACAGAGTGGAAAACAATTTCACGCTGGTCATTTTCGGATTCGGTTTGAATTTATTTATAGATGAACACTGAATAGATATGATGTAAAATTATCATTATTTAGAAACTTACATTTTACTTATGTTTGAGGCAAATAAGTATCAAAAAAGAGACAAAGCAGACAATATAAAAAAAAAAACTTCCACTTAAAGCAGGGGTTATATTATATTCTTGTTCAGTTCTGTAAATGATTAAATCTACTAGACCTTTTTACGATCAATCTTTGTCATATTTCATGTTCTATTATGTTAAGGAGCATATAATATTTATTAAACATTGAAACAACAGTATTGTTTGTTGTTGTTTATTTTCCAAAGCTTTAATGATGACGCAAGTTACATGTATATGCTTTTATATACATGTAGAATGTAACAGTAACTTGCATTGCTTTTTTAATATCTTGTTGTTTAAGTACAGTTTAACGGATATGATTATTTGTCTGCTTTTCTAGTTTAGACCCGGATCCAGTCTACACACCCATCTGCCTTATTAGAAACATTTTAATATCAAAATCGTCACATTAGCAATAAACCTACAGTTCCTTGTTTATTTCTAGCCCTTTAAAAATAAGCATCTAGTACTTAACGTATAACTGTATGTAAAATCGTATTTTTCCTGATTACGTCTAAAATGATGAACGTTTTGTCTTTGACATTCTTGCCTGCTAGAAACGATAAAAATCATTCTCTTATGTATACATTAGACAACGGTGATGACTAGCAGCGTGACATTACAACGGGGAATAATGGGTTACCCTTCCGCTTCCACGCAGCATCTAGGACTAGGTTCTTCTAGTACGCCCTTTTTATGGTGAAGACTTAAAAAAAATCATTATCAATTAAGAAAACCAATTACCATGATGAAATTTGAGTGTCAGAGGAATATTGCGAGAATCAATTTTATGGACAGTAAAATGTGGAAGATTCATCAAAAAAGGGGTAACTGATTCTTATGTTCAGTTATCAAATGTTACGTGCATCAGAATATACAGTACATGTACATGTATTCGATAATACAGAAGTTTTAACTCGAAAAAATGTATTCAATCCAAGAAGGACATATTCATTCTGGAATAATTACCTCGTTCTAAAACACCTGGACGGAAATATGCTTACATCGCAAACAAGTGTTGACAAGTTATAGGCCTAGATATCAGCTATATATTTTTCGACTCACACATGGCTGCACGATTTCACTACCTGTCAGTAAAATATTCAAAAATCAAAAGAAATATAAATCCAGCACGTAATTGCATCATTTATAAACACCATCGTAATATTGCCGTTTATTTGCAAGTCGACACAGTTTTGAGTGAGGTGTTATTATTGATCAGTCGCCAGTTCATATTTTTGAGTATATACAAATACATCGGTAAGTTTATTTTTTCATATTTATTTTTAAAAATTAGATAATATTAGAACATCAGTATGAACGGCTTTATGTAATTAATGAAAATTATGTTAATGTGAAGTGATGTCATTGAAAATAAATGTTTGCGCTTTTAAACAGATGGAACTGTTTCTATTTCCTTCCTAAAAAGAAACATAATGCAAGAATTCCTGTAGTAGTCTAAGCCATCGATTGATGTAAGTCAATGTAATGAACCTGGTTGGTTCCAGGAACGGATTCGAACGTGTGTCTATAAGCTTATAGCTTCCTACACAATCGAACTAAAATAAATTCTGTATAAACCAATGTAATGAACCTGAGCCAGAGAGTGAATGGACTCAAACCGAACGTATATATGCATGGGTCGAGGTGAACTCAAGATATTGTACTTCTATGATAGTGTTCTTTCTATGATAGTTTACTTCAAAAACACAGTTTGCCGTTTCTTTTAGTTGAAACCCTGCTATGAAGATGTTCTTACGAATATGTCTAATCAATCAAGCGGACAGTGATTTTGCGTAACTGGTCTCAAGACTAGCAGGCTCAGATCCTCTTGGGAAAAAAACAAGGGAAAAAAAAACTCTTTTCTTTCTATCAGTTTTAAAAACAGATAGTCATCTACATGTAAACAATAAATTTTAATGTTACTTTTTAAGTGTATTATTTTGTGTAAATTGTACAATTTTATTGATACATATGAAGTGTTCATAAATCAATCAAAACGATACAATATCAAATTCATAATAATAAATAGAACGATTTTGTTCACTTCCCACCTCTATTAAACTAATATAAAAAACGAAATACGAAATACTCCATTTTTTAGAACAACTACATTCCTTTTATGACAAAAATGTTACAATGTTTATGGGACATTCCTACTGAATTGCGACTTCCCTCAAACAAACAGAATACCACTGCTAATTTGTCATTCCTTTTAGATTTTAATTATTTAATACGTTTTTTTTAAATCTTAAAACAAATACATGTTTTTGTCACTTTATAGGGGGTTTGATACTAAGCATTCTCAAATTTTAGTTAAATAACTTTACATTTATTACTACTTTTTCAGGCAACAAGCATCTAACATTTGTTTTCTAAGATCATTTTGCCTTTTCTAAAGAAGTAAAAAAAACTATTTGTTTCTGACTTTAATTATTTTCTAGTATAAATACCAAGATAATTAAGGTACTTTGTAATCAGTTTATTTTAACGGAACAAAAACTTTTGTATAAAAGGCTAAAGATATGGAATGCACAACTAATTACGTGATCCGAACCAAGATAATGAATTCCGCATCATTTCTGTCCGCTTTTCTACGTCGTTCAAAACACAACGTGTCTTTGATAGTTAATACCTTGATAAATTTGATATACGCTTGGCAAATGCCCATATTCGAATTTTCTTTTGCTAAATGAAACGTAAACTTAAAAGTACCCCGTAAAGGCATATACCTATAAACCGGTTTAAGGCAGGTGAAATATTTTATCAGTGATCAAAGTTGTGTGAACTCAAACTGTATCAATCGAACATCTTAGAACCAAATATAAAATGAAGTTATATGCAAATAACCTTTAAATTATAGGTTTAAAGATTTGAATCAATACACATTGACTGACTGTCCTATCTCGTTTCGTGAATATTATAGTAAACAGGTAAAGCTGCGTTCTCACTTACTCCCGGCAGTGCCCAGGACCACCCGGTAAGTTACTGGGATGATCCGAGACGATCCGGGATGAAACTATTGTTGCGGTAACACTTACTCCTGTACCACTACGGAAATTCCCAACTAACCACCCAGGATGCGCTCTGGACCATACAGGCAGAGCCCAGGTGAAGCTATGGTTCATGCCGTTGCTTCCCCGGTCGTTCCCGGATGACGCTTGACCCAGGGAGAGACCCGGTCGATCCAGACAGAGCCCAGGACAATCCCGGCAGAGCCCCGTAGAACCCCCATGGATTGAAAACGCGCGAAAATGATTACATTGACACATAAATTTCAATTTATAAAATATAATAATATATAATATTTAATATCTATTTTTCCAGAGAGCAGTAATTCATGATGATATTGGAAGGGAAATGGGAAGGGTTTTAATACAAACAAGTGCAAGCATCGCAAATTGTCATTATTCTCTTAAATGAACCGGGCTTTGCCGGAGCTCTACCTGGATCAACCGTAGCTCCATCGTCATCCTCCGGGGCTCTGTCGGCATCCTTCGGGGCTCTGCCGTCAATCACCGGGGCTCTGCCGGCATTTACCGGGGCTCTACCGGCTATATCATACCTCGGATCATCCCCGGTTTGTGCCTGCAGAGCTACAATGCTTCCCCGGTGTAACCCCGGTCGTTCCCGGCAGAGCTAAGGATGAAGCCGGCAAAGCTATACTTCCCAGATCACCCCGGACCACCCCGGTGATATTAAATATTTTATTTCATCCGGGGTCGAATGCGGGATTTCCCGGATCATCCCGTACTCCGGTTGTTCCCGGTCGTACCCGGATCACCCCGGACGTCTTCCGGGGCTCTGCCAGGATGTAAGTGAGACTGCAGCTTAACGTCAGTCAAGCGAAGTGAGTGATACTCGGGTTGATGTGAGTAGTGTTTAGTGATATTCAGGATTCCGAAAATTATAACAAATATTCTGGGTGATGTGAGTAGAAATGAATGAGTGATATTTAGGGTGATGTGAGTAGAAGTGAATGAGTGATATTAAGGTGATGTGAGTAGTAGTGAGTGAGTGATATTAAGGTGATGTGAGTAGTAGTGAGTAAGTGATATTCAGAGTGATGTGTATAGTAGTGAGAGAGTGATATCCAGGATTATGTGAGTATTAGTGAGAGAGTGATATTCAGAGTGATGTGAGTAGGAGTGAGAGAGTGATATTCAGGTGATGTGAGTAGTAGTGAGTGAGTGATATTAAGGTGATGTGAGTATAAGTGAATGATATTCAAGGTAATGTGAGAGGTGATGGTGATAAGTAATGGTGAATGAATTATATTCAGGGTAATAGTGTGAGCGCTCAGTGAGTGATATAGAAGGTCATGCGAGTAATGGTGAGTGAAATTAAGAGTGATGTTTGTAATAGCAAATGAGTGAAATGGAGGGTGATGAGTGTAATGGTAAGTGGGTGAAATTCAAGGTGTTGTGGGTAGTGAAAAGTGTGTGATATTCAGGGTGATATATTTTTGGGGTTCGGATATTACGTAGCACCAACGCAGTAGAGGTCATATGGCGACTTTCCAGCTTTACTGTTGGAGGAGAACCCTCATAGGTGTACGATATTCGTATATGAACAATGGTGTACAGAGAGAAACTGTGTGCAATAACATTGAACATTGACGTCATCAATACCACTCTGTATAGTATTTAACAGTGTCACCACTTAAAAATCAAGAAAGAATATTTCCATGAAATTTATTACGTTTTTGTTCAATGAATTTCCCCCAAAAAGGCAAAACGAAATCTTATTTTAAAAAATTGTCAAGTTCATTTAATTAATTTGACTCGAAATGATAAAGTTACTGGATTGATTTTCATTTTTTGACATGCAATCTAAACTCATTTATTTACTTCTATAATTTTCGTTAATTTGTATTCCTAATTCTCCCAATCACTCTGGAGACAACAAGACCCTGTCTACTTACAGTATTCACAAACTAAGACAGAAACAACACATAAAAACAAGTTCTTTACGTGTGTATAATATACATTGTATATTTGTTTAGGTGTTCGTATCAACTTATATCAAAACCATGCAATTGACACAGAAACAAGCTGACGAATTTTGGAACATTGCCGACGCTGATGGAAATGGCCAGATGCAGATCAACGAACTCCATATGGCACTGAAAAAATGCGGTGCAAAAATTTCGGATAAGGAACTCGCGGTTAGTTTATAAATATACGAAAGAGCTGTGGTGACATTTCAATTTCTTGAATTCTTGGATTTATAGGAATTTCGTATCGTAGAGCTCAAAACATGAATTCGCGCGTTGAAATCGTGAACTCATGAGATTGAAATCGTGAAGCTGAAATCGTGAAATTCCGTATGTTAAAACCTGAATTGACGAAGTTAAAATTGTGAATTCAGAGAATTCAGAGAGATGAAATCGTGAATTCGTGAAGTTGAAATGTCCCCACCGGTCTTCCGTAAGTTTACACAGGAAGTTCGATATAACATTATATCTAGTTTTTATTCATGTTTGCAATATCTTGAATATCTTCTTACATGTACATATTGAACAACTCGTCGGAGCCTAAGGGATAAACCTAGTATATACCACAGTGGGGGATTATTATCCCGCTCGCACCTAGTAGAGTAAACGAAAAATTATTGTGAAATGAACAAAGAAATAATTTATACATTATAAACGCCAAATACAATCCACGTAAATTACCAAAAAAGAGTACACAATATGCAAAAGTAGACCTTAATGTCATGCAGTAGGGCAGTAGATACATTGTGATAAATACTGTACAAAGCATTTCGATTGGTAAATGGAAAGCGGTTTATATATATTCTATTCAGTTAAAAGAAAAAACGTCAAAAATAAATCTTTTTATTTTGTCATCAGTTTTCGCCAGTGATATCCTCTCAAACCATGACTAACGATCCCATTTAAATTATTTGATTTTTTTAACTATCTATTTAATTGTGAAACTATGACCATAATAATTTTTTGTTAACAGACTTTCGGTGACATTGATTTGTCGTTAGTTTTAGAAATTGTTAATAAAAAAACTTGTGCAGCTATTCATAGCAACAACACTTCTTTCTTATACGACATCAAAACTTTGTTCCATGTCTCGATACTCTTAAATTACATGTAAAGAAAAATACAGAAAAATAGCTTTTAAAAATGACATTTGTTGTATGATTATATAATCTATTCAATATTATTTATTCCATAGGTTTATCTTATACATGTATTTTTAGTAATTTTATTTTTAGAAAATGTTTTGCGACATTGATAAAAGTGGCGACGACATTATTACTAAGAAAGAGTTCGTAGACGAAATGGTAAATAAAGTCAACCGAGGGTAAGTCAATTTGAATGGCAAATGTTCTTTATTTGTAAATTCCTAAAAGTAAATAAATAAACTAATAAATAAATAAATGAAAAGTGGCTGAGTGGTTGCCTTTACGGGTTGAGGCATCATCATTTCAGCCACCGTTAATCCCTTTGTGACCGTACGAGGCGACTAACTGGGTTCGAATTCCTTGGGCCGCTGCATCTCTTAGCTCCAGCAGGTGAGCTTGATTGATCCTTGGTGTTGCTTTAAGTTTGCAACACCCGAGGTTAGCCATAGACCATGACATTTTGGTGTGACTAAAAATAAATTAAAAGCAACAAAATTAACTGGAAAAAAAACAAAGAACCATAGATGAAACTTTCAGAAATACGACAAATTTATGTCTCCCATGCAAGCAGATATCGTAAAATATTAAAACAAGTTAACTGCATACGGTGATCACTTAATTGTTTTTCTCATTTACAAGGATGAAAGGAAGATCACTTTAGAAGATTAAAGTTAATTCCCGCTTTAAAAAAATAATTGCTGACAATTCTTTTGAGCAAAAATCCGAGGACACAAAATTCTCTACATTGAACTTATTAGAATAAATACAGATTCACCATATTTTCATTTTCCGTGATCATTTTTTAATTGATACCATTATAATGTTTATTTTAGAGATGCTATGTGCAAGTTGTTTAAGAAATATGATGCCAGTGGTGACGGTAAACTGAGCCGAGATGAAGTTGCTAAGCTGCTTGCAGAGTCCTACAAAGCTAAAGACCCAAAAGAAGTTTTGGATGATTTTCTGAAGTATGCTGATACCAGTAATGATGGAGTAATCACCTATGATGAGTTTGAAAGCTTTTTTGGCTAACTTTTGTGAAGCTGGCAGTTAATTACTATATACCGACATATAAAAAGGTGCTACAAGAAATTTAAAATGATGCATGCATATTCATAATCGCTATCTTAAAAGAAATATTAAGCATAAATGTTTTCAAAATATTGAAGCATTACGTGCTTTGAATCTGCTATGTTTTGTAAATACATGAACATATGATAGCGAGATCGTAGAGCAGGTCCTTTTATAACTGTCATTAATAACAGCAACTCAAGTATGTTTAAAAGTACCGGTATGATATATTTAAAAAAAAATGACTGCAAGTTCTTTACTAAGGTAAGGATATCAAGATTGTTAAGATTTTATTTTACAACTATGCCCATATGGGCATATCTCTTGACAACAATAGCTATGAAGAAAATATATGTGATAAACATTCATCTAAACATGTAAAAAATTCAACCTCATCATGCTGAGTATCCGAAATGAACCCGTCCACACTGGTGGCAAATAGAACCGCACACAGTGTTTGCAAATGGACCTGTCCACAATGGTGGCTAATCGATCTGTCAAACAATGATAAAATTAGGCAGTTATAACTAAAAAAGTAGCTAGGTACATGTATGACTAGAAAAAAGATTTAATAACATAACTTCGGTTGATTATCTTTATAGATGTATTATTTTGAACGTGGTTCTATGTGGTCACCTTACATTGCTGTAGGATACAATAAAATGACGCCAAGAAATGTACCATGAACGGAGACCCTTTTCCCAACATAGGACTTTTAAGTACTTACTACTTATAGATTCAAATATGGATGCAATATTTACTCAGCAATTATCTTGTTTATACTATAATATAATAAAAGAAAATGTATCAAGAAAGTAATAGTTGTTGTTTACAAAAGGTATTCCATACGATATAGCGTTACTAACTTTCTCAACAAAGTTAGCAAGTAAGCGAGAATGTTGCTTTAATGTGACTTTTTGTAATTCCTAGTACAATGTAGTCTGCAAGCCGTGACTTGATTCGACATGGTTAAAGTTCGAATTTTATATTATAGTTAACCAGTTATATAAATTTGAGGCTTAATTCTGATTTCCCACTCATTAATGAGATGAATACTGTTTTTAACTTATAACGTCAACACTATCAAATTCAAAAGAGGTCAAAGATATATGTTAACCATCTTTTTATTTCATAAATTTTCAATTTATTGTGACACAGTTTAAATTGCCCACTTTGAAAAGTTTTGTCTGCTGGGGGTAGTACATCTTTTTTCCTTCCGCCCAGAAACGAGGTCCTTGATACTACATGTATACATAAATTATCTTTTTTAAAGTCATCACATAACACAAAAGCTACATAAATATAATGAATACACTTAAAATATGACCAATATCAAACTAGTGATAACTTAAGGTCTTGCACTTCAAAATGCTCCAGAACTATGTTTTAGATTACAACGGGTTAAATCTTTTTAATGACGCTGTGATCGATGCTATTACATTTCTCCATTGTTTAATTTAGATAAATTCGGTAAGCTGCGGAAGCACTGGAACAGAACCCATGACCATTTGTTAAGTATAATAAATCTTTGGCTGCACATAGCTTAAAACAAAATTAGAGTAAAAAGGCTTCATAACTTTCTTTGAAGTCGTCAGAAATTATACTATTTAAATGACCGTCCATCCGTGTCACATACGGGGTCAAATCTGGCGGCGTCCCTGTTAATCTTGAAACTCATAATATGACCTTGAATGTGTCACCACTGCTCATCTATAACTTATCACTTCAACAAATTGAATATATTAATCAAACGTTCTCCAAAATTTGATGTTCATTCCAATGTATTCTATAGGTTACTATGGTAACATGTTAGGTGCATGTATAATAAATATAAACTATATCATTACAGATTGATATTGAGATAACTCCTCTAGTTATCAAGTTTGAAGATTATCTATAATCCCCTGATACAATACCAAGCCAAGTTAAAGATAGGTCTCATTTTCACAAGACGGTTTAATAATTAAGAATGACAGCGTATTATAAAATGAGCCTAAATTAATGTGATAAAAACAAAGTTCACAAAATGCGAGTTACCACAGGCCAGTTTAGAACATCATTTCAAAAGAATTTAAATCCAAGCTACTTGATGACCATTTTTTAGCATTTAGCATTAATTAACATGTCTCTGCGACCGAGTTGCTGACTTCAAATCACTACCACCCCGCCTCCTCCCCCTCCCCCAACCCCTCGCTCTGAGCTTGAATCCCGTCAGGAAGCTACCCAGCTAGCTCGCGGAAGTTTCTCTTCTATCAGTGATGCTAGAAAGTCGTCATAGTTTTCATGAATTTGACAGTGTCTTACAACAAAATGAAACATATTAACTTGTCTCATAAGTCATAAGTAATATTCATAAGTTATCTCCCCTGATCTTATACATCAGTGAGGGTCGCCATCTCGTTCTCTTGCAGAGAAAGCGCAGTTCATCGGCTTGGCGGGTAGACATCTATAAACTACAAGTACTCCAATACACGTCTACTTCGTCTACGACTGGAGACCAGCTGCCGATATCTTAACTAAAGCCGAGGGGAGTGGCCCTACAAAGGTGGCAGTGACGACGAAAGTGTGCGAGAGCCCCTTGCATAGAGAGTGACAACTTGAAAGGCAGGCCAATTTTCTTGGCACCTACTTTCTTTTGATATTGTCTCATGTTACTGTACATTTAGGTTCTTATTAATCGCCGTACAGTGATCTTCTTTTGGCACAAAATTCATATCTTTGTCTAATACTCCGTTGCAATTGCATGGAGACTAACTCGGAAGGGTGTGGTCCTTAAAAGTTGCCCTGATGTTGTTCCCATCTCCTGCTACCACCTATACGTAGAAAGAGCCAGAAATGACACTGAACGTCTCGGACGTATGGTTTATTCCGGCACCGAGAGTAAATAAACTTACCATCAATAACTACATTATGACAGCTTTCAGATCACCTCGTCGATTGTTCATACTACTTAACAAAGATTGACGAAAAGGGCCGGAAAGTTGCGATAGCTAATTGTTCACCTCCTCAATAACTACTACATATCCACAAATATCATCTGAAACAGACGGATGAAAAATCTATCATTAAGGAAAACGAATAAACAAAAAAAGGCGAGTGTTCGGCTTGTATTTTATTCGTGAATAAGTCAAAGCTGCTGGTTTTATTTAACATCTATTTTAATGTTCTAATGTTAAATAATTCAATGTCGTTGGATCAAAACAAGCTAAACAAGTTTTCAGCAAGATACACCGAAATAAAATGTATGTAATGTTCTAGATTAAATATGAAGGTTATGGGAACAGGCTATATTTGAGCCGCGTCACGACAAAACCAACATAGTGGGTTTGCGACCAGCATGGATCCAGACCAGCCTGCGCATCCGCGCAGTCTGATCAGGATCCATGCTGTTCGCTATCAGTTTCTCTACTTGTAATAGGGTTTGTAAGCGAACAGCATGGATCCTGATCAGACTGCGCATCCGGCTGGTCTGGATTCATGCTGGTCGCAAACCCACTATGTTGGTTTTGTCGTGACGCGGCTCATTTATAATATTTGCTTTACATGGTTGAACATCATATAAATTTACGCGAGACTACATCCAGCAATTGTCAGTAATTGTTATGATAATGGCTGTATATTTTTATGAGACACTTTAATGTCTTTCATATAGATTATATTTACTAGGGCGTAGCGAGGAAGAGCCAGTATTGTGCGTGGTAACGCTGTTTAATATTATTTTGGAAAAAAAGAAATAACATAAAAACAACAAGTATTTGATATAAAAAAACTTAACTGAAATGATTCATTCTAAAAAGCAACATTAAATGTCCTTGTAAAACAAGTTTCTGTTGGTTTTAGGCAATGCAACGCGTCTTTGTCGAATGTCGAAAAATACAAGGTAAATCGGAAACAGCCGATTTCAAATGAAATGTACTGAAAATAAAGAGTCGGCAAGTTAGTTGATATGTACGTGTACAGTAGATATTATAAAAGCATAACATTTCAGAAATAGTAATCACTACCGAGGGCATCATAGCATACATTATAGGAACCCACAAATTAGTTCATAAATATTCCACTGACCGAAGCCTGAGTGAGATTGGCTCATCGTTTAAGGCTGACCGGGGAGTCTCTTTAACGCTCGGAGGTGAGCAGCAGTGTAGAGGCGTGCTTTGACATATTTCTACAACCTGTACGGAAAGCGTTTTCATGGTGAAAGGAATTGTATTGCTTTAACAACAGTATTTTAAGTAAAACTAAAGAATTTTTTTTTCAGCTTTAACTGCCATAATATTCGTGTATGTAAAACGTATCAACCGTGTATGACCCACTCAGTTTTTGTGCATCAACAAAAGGTTGTTTTAAGCTGACGTCATTTTGAAAATTACAGTTTCTTAAACCTTATCCTGCTTTATTTATAACATGGACTTGTCCTGCTTGCATTTTCGGAATTGTCCATGACTAATATTGGGGATAATAATATGAAAGTTTTTTATTTAGACCGCCAACAGTACAGAGCTTGTGAGATTGCTAGGTTATGAAGGCTTGCCTGGCTTCTATAAGGGTGGTTCCAGTCAGGTAAAGGTTCAGGTCAGCTTAAACAAGTAAAGAAACACATTCTCATTTGTAAGGTATTACATAATAAGAGACATTTAATGTTTTATGTCTTTATTTAACGCCAAGGGGTATCTATATGTACAATGATTAGTTTTACAAAGCATACAACCATGAGGTAACTTTGCAAAATTTAGCACTGAAAAAAAAAATAACAACAACAACAAATATTGTACTAACAACATTGAATTTTGGTTAATGCAAATTTTATCCCTGGGGAGATAGTGACCACGTCATATCCGTGCTAAAATCCCGTAACCACGCCCATCTTGCGGATAAAGCTATATCTCCAGCTTTTTTGTGCGTTCACTCGGTAGTGTCCCCACAAGCGGGAATATTAAAATACAACTCACCTTATCACAAATGACTGGTGCATCAGAATGCGTCGATATTGGTCTTTGTATTTGTCTTATTGAAGCTTTATAAGACACGGAAACAGGCCGTATATAGCGAACTTATGCTTGTCATTAACGTTTTTTTACCATAATCTTCTGATTACCAACAACAAATCGGAATCAATTAGTACTAAAACTTTGTAATGAATTGAAAAAGTATTTTATGTAGGTCATCCTTCACCCTCCCCTCTGTGAGGCTGCTGTGTGCTTTATTTAATTTTGATTCTTCTTTTCCGCCTTTGGCATTTTTTTACCTATTGACATAAGGACATAAACACCATGTTCGACCTTTCCGTTTTACTATAATAACAACTGTATATAGCCTAAAGTCAACCAGGGTTAACCACTATCAAGTATTCAATTACCTTGAGAAAAAATCGTTACTTTAAGTTTGTGGACGGTTTACTTTCACATAGGTATCAAAGTAAGCTCTTCACTTGAGTGAGCACAAGAAAAAAAGTGGTATTTAATACACTTTATAACTAGAAATAAACATAAATTTCCATCCGCGGCCTGATTTTTGTGCAATTGACTTCAGTTGATTTAGCAAGCTGTGACGGACTTACAATTTGAAACGACGGTGCGGAGCTAGAAAAGGGAAAACAGTGAGTTTTAGTTTTGTAACAAAATATTTATGAATAATTCATTAATGGGTATTTTTTTCATGATGCAGCGTTATTTAACAGCGTAATAAAAGCTCTAGTTTGAATCAAAATGCAGATTTCAAGCAGTAATGCAACTCTCTCTCTACAAATACCCAGTCATCAAATTGTATATATTTTATTCTTTCTTTCATTATTGAATTCACTTTCAAAGAAGAAGACAAAAATTCAATCTTTTTAAGGGTAAAGAAGGTGTCTTTGAAGAAGTTTGAGGTTTTTTTTTCATTGCCACTTCCTTCCCGCAGGAATAACGCTATTGTTGCTTTCATTGAAACAAATCTTGTATAAAATAACATTTTTTTACATTTCAATACCAGTCAGTTTTCAGAGTATATATTTCTTATTTCTATAACTTAAGATAAGTATGACATCTTTAGTAGAATCTGTACTTCCTTTGCTTAAATTGGCTACCTAAAGAATGAAGGTTGCATAGCGGATACTGTCTTTTAGTCATTTCTACTCACGGTACTAAGCTTTCGGGATATAGACAGGCCGAGGATCACAGTTTTTGGGCGCAATATTCATGTCTAGATTCAAGGTCTGACAAAATCCACACTACTGTAATTTAAACCATGTTCCATTCTTTAGTGGTTTTGAATACACATTTTCAACTGACGTATTATTATTTTTTATTGAAAATATATGTTATTGACCGAAACACAATGTAATGTGTACCGTTTTTTAAAAACAAAATTAAGATTATTGGAAGTTCCATTCATGCCACCCCAAGGTAATCACAGGATTACTGGTTGTGCACTTATGTTACGGACAATTACATTTTAATATCTTAATACGGTTATTTTGTACAATAGAATAACAACATTTCTTCTTTCAATTAATGTAGTTTTCAGAAGAAAAGAAGAGATTTTATAACAAGAATGCCCCTAACAAAAATTGCCACATAAAACCGACAGTAACGTAGAGAGATTATAGATTTAGATTTTAGTGACGGAACAATTGAAGGAGTATTTCACTTTTTATTTAAGAAATTTTAGAAAATATTTCTTTACACTCCTGTACAGGGAAACAAACTATCTATGAATCTGCAAATAAAGTCGAACTTTTATGGCTTAGAAGCACTTAGAAACAATGGTATTCTAGTATACCGCTAAAAATGCCCTCTTGCTTACCGAACACATGCACGTAAACCTTTCATGAAATATCAGCAAATCTAATGACAATTTATTTCGCGTAACCGTGCAAAATGAATGAAAATTTAAGAATAATTCATTTTAATTATATTGCGCCGTTAAAGTCATACAGACGTTTCTTATATTTAACTCCCACGGAAAATGACGGAAACTGTCGATTCAAGGACACATGTTTTTGCGACGGACGCGCCCTCAGGCGCGTTCAGAGCTAAGTCATCTACACATGGGATTTCGTTGGCTACACTCGCGCAATGTGTCCTAAACCAATTAACAGCCCAAGAAATAGTACATGAATTTGATCCTTCAAAACTCCCATACTTTGTCTGGATATCTTAATGTCTTCCATATTTAGCCTTTTCAATTTCAAATTAAGTTATCCAAGTTAAAATATGAACGTATATTATTGATAAAAACGTTGTAGTCCCGTAGTATTATTGCGCAATATGCAAATTACTGCTGAAACGATTTACCGCTGTCGAAAAAGTAGGACAGCAAATTATACTACAATAAAGGTGTAACCTCTGAGTTCCAAGACATTATTAGTAGGAAATAAATATTTCTACATTATACAAAAACATTATTATTAACAAATCAAAAGTTTTTTCGTGACTCTAGGATATCTCGCGCATTAATAAAAGAAGAACTATTTTCGTGACTCATACCGCGGGTTTAGCTGAATATTCAGCAGTTATTAATATATTAGATACAGTACAATGGCTAGTATAAATATCTATTTTTGAAAATGCATGTAAGACACTTTACCGCCATGTATCTTTCATGGTAAGGAAGTTATAATATCAGTTCTACTTCCGATTCTTGTGGTTTGTTTACATATTTAACTAGGTCACGATATGAGTTAAACCTTCGCTATTCTAAAAATAGATTCTGCATCACCTTTTCTGATTTTTGACAGGCGATTAGGAAGTACACATTAAACATGTAGTTAATAAACCAGCGGATTGTAATGCAATACTTTTAGAAATGCTATACAATTGTAAGAAGCAAACAAGTTGAAAATGGAATTTTAGTGTGAAGTTGAAAAGGACAACTAAACACTGTAGTGCTTAAGTGACATTTAAATTAAAATAAAAACGATGTGCTCTGGCCTCTACATCTTTACCTTGTAAATATAAAAAAATCTAAGGAATACACTATTAATTGCTGATGATGTTTAACCAATTTTTTTTAATGAGACATATTCAAGAGAAATAAAAATACAAATGACTTATATTTTATTGTCTGTATGCCCACTATGATATAACACGAAGCAATTCTAAATAGCATTCTCAAATGTATAATGTATTATGTTTGAAGTTTATTTGCCTGGATTTATTCTAGAAATATTTCGTTTTTTTTTTTCTATTTACATATCATTTCTTAGAATAAATCGATAAGGACACTGATTTACAAGTTTGACCAGAGTTTTTAGGCATAAATTTCATTCTGTATTTAAGTGCTTGAAAGTAGAAAATCTGAATTATATCAATTTGGGACACAAAATATATTGCTCTACAAATCTCGAACTTGTATGGAACAAATTTTCTCTGTTATATATTTTGTGTTGTTTTTTTTTGTTTTTTTTTTCTAAAAGAAGCCTTAATATGTCTCTTCGGTTGCATGTCCGTCGCATTCAGTGCTGCAGCACTTTGATTGTTAATCTGTTGTCAGAATTATATTCGTTGGTTTTATGTAACATATTTTTTTTGTATTTAACTATAACTATTTGTGCAAGCTTTGGAACGAATCTGGCGTCCGATTACTTTCTAAATATTATGCAGACGACAATTTGTTATCTTGCATAAACGGGGAAATTGTAGCTAATTATATACAGTCTAGCGATAACAATGTACTTTACATTAGCTATCAACCTATATCATTATCGCCTTTTCGTCTTGTCACTAGCGACAACAGGACAAAGCGCCAAACGGCGCGTTGTCGCGCTGTGTCTTGCCGTCCTGTCGCTAGCGAAGCACGCCAAACGGCGCATTGTTGTGCGGCGCGTTGTTCCGATGTCGCCCTGTCGCTTGGCTTATAAGCTAATCCTTCGATTTGAATCTTGCAACAATGTGACATCGCGACAACACGCCGCACGACAACGCGCTAGGACGACAAGACGAAAGTCCGACAACGCGCCGTTTGGCACAAAGGCGTTCCAAATCAGGCACCATATCTTATCAAATAAACTTTATTATCTTAAAGTTTTAACCTGGGAAAATAGATTAAATATTTTTTTTTAAATACTTTAAGGGAATTGTATTAATTTTCTTGCATCCAATTTTGGTACCGTACTTGTTTCATTTACAAGACGATACAGTAATTTATATGATTAAGCGGCTGAAACTGTAAGTGACAATGAGGCGAAGAGTGGTTTGGTTCCATTCTAGTTCATACGTCAGTCATTATCGGCCTTTATGAATATATAGAAATGTTACATCTTGTTTTGAATATGAATATTATTTAAGTATACTACCTAGGTGTTTTAGATTTTATTTTTGTAGATTAAGAATGAATGGCCTTCCTTTAAGAATTCAAACAGGAAGATTTAGTAAAAAGTGAAGAAAGATATTGTTTGTTTTGCAATGACTTAGATATTGAAGACGAGTACCATTTTAACTGTATATGTAAATGCTATGATGTTATAAGAAAACAACATTTAAAAGCCTACTATTACAGAAATCCATCAGTTTACAAATTCACTCAACTGTTAAACTCGAAAAATAAAAATGAGCTTATACGTTTATCTAAATTTGTTAAAGAAGCTCTTTCCATGCACTTTCATCTGATACTGTCTGATAACAATTAATGTTTATTCTCCAAATGTTTTGTTTTGATTCCAAAAATATCCATAAAGCATCTCATTTATGAAAGTAGAAATTAAATGCACATTTTTCCATAGCTACATGTTTTTTGTTTGATTGATTGATTGATTGATTGATTGATTGATTGATTGATTGATTGCATGTTTGTTTGTTGTCAGGAAGCTATTGTATACGTAAAATGTAATATCCTGATTTTGTTTGTTTATTTTCATGCAGCTATTACATATAGGAATATAATGTATTGTAGATGATGTACTTTGTACAAGTCTTAATAAAATATCTGTTCTGTTCTGTTCTTGAACTTAAAGTTTACTTCTGAACTTTTAGCCCAAATCTACCCAGATTAGCAGGCACGTTCATGCCATCTGATCAAGGCCTGAGCTGGTCGGTATTCAGTTAATACTTATTTTCAAATTTTCTCTTAAAATGCTAAATGGTACGCGTATCATCCAGATTGAGAAATAGTTACAAGATAAGAGTGGGAAGGGTTTAAAATGTTTGTTTTCATTTCTGTTTACTGACACAGTCTTGATTTATTTGTAGGAGACTACTGACATTTTTATGATTTATTTATCGGTCCGTTAACTTTAATGCATTAGCGATGGTGTAAACTGTATATCTCGTTTTCGTTTTTTTATAACGCATCATTAAGCAAGTTCAAGTTCTACGTCGTTTCTATGGAACGCCTTTATCGTCATTTAGTTAATTGTATGATAATATATACATGTTATCGATATGTATGTAAATCATAAACTTACTTATCATGGCTGTCTACTCATGACATTTATTTGATAATCCTTCCATATCTATCAAAACATTTATAAGTTATTCACAGACTATAACTACTTGTTCTAAGCTCTAAAAGTGTTGAATACGATGACTTTACCGTTATTATTTCTAATGGACAGCACCCGGCTCTTTCCGTTAACAACTGACGACCGTTAATGCTAAAAAGTGTCCAGCCATCTTCGTTTTTTAATAGTTTAAACATGATATATCGAAATCTTTTTATTATTTCTTTTTAATAATGTGATTGATATATCAAAATCTTTTTATCAAGCGTCATTAAACCCAAAGCTCGACTCTTGTCATCTTATATTTGCCTCATACCTTCTTTTTTGCCATCTCCACCCCACAGTCTTCCTTCGACATACACCCGTCCACGTTTGTTCTATGAACTAAATATTGTCATAATTTAGTCATTCATCTTTTGTGTTTACAGGGAATAGATATTGCTGATAAAGAAAGATGGCATTGACCACGAAACAAATAGATGAGTTCTGGCGTTTAGCTGATGCAAACAATGATGGCAAACTGACAGTTCAGGAGCTTGCACGCGCTGTCAGAAAGTATGACAAAAATGTCTCAGACGCTGCTATTGCTGTGAGTATTTTGTTGTCGTTGTCTATTCACTGTATACCTGTTACAGATGTTTTTTTCTCAAATGAATACTTTTAATGGAAGATAAATAAAGTTCGACATATTGTCGTCTGCGAAAGTCATTTCTGAATACTAGTACCTCGACCGGGAATCGAACACGAACTCGATGTTTTGATATTCTTAGACCTCTTTCTCTTACAACCGCGCCGTCTTATACTGTCATAGTAAAGTACCCATTTTGACCAATTAATGAATTATATGTAAATTGAAAAACAAAAACAAAAAAAGAAAGAAAATAGGATATCGATGGCCACGTTATCATTTGGTTTCTTTTTTCTTGCCATTTTTATGTAATTTTAAGGGCAGATAATTCTTTACCAGTTCTTACTATACACCATAACTTTATAAGTTGTCAGACATTATAAATTATCTTCCCTTGAATATGAGCAAAAATTATAAACTCAAGGGCAGATAATTCGAAAACAAGTTCGGTTACCCCACCCCCTATCTTGCTTAAAATGTTTCTGTTAACACATTCTTAAAAATTCAAAGTTTATTATTAAGTTTTCACTTGGGCAATATGTCTTTATGTAACTTTACCATACACATTTGAAAGGCTTAAGTAACTCCGATAAAGATCGTCATTTTCCGCGTGTCTATTATCCACATGGAAAGCGTCATATTAACAAGACTTTCTGTTGCTCTTAGTCACAACGGCGCTCATTAACTTCTTTACCCGTAATTTTGAAAGCTGCAGAAATAATAAAGTCCATTTAACTTTTGTTTGTTATTGTTTTAATACAGGGTATGTTTTGTGGCGTTGATAAAGATCAGAGCAAGACTATATCCAAAAATGAGTTCTACAATGACATGAACGAAAGAGAAAAACGATCGTAAGTGATTTCTTCAACTCTTTTATAATCAACACATGTTATTAAATATTAACTTTCAAATATACCAAATGTAAAACCTTTATTTAAGATGTACAGAAGCAGAGCATTTTATAGACAAAGTCATGAAAGTTCATGAATGCGTCTATCTTCACATCCCGACGTCACTTGAGTTGTTGTGGCAATGCTGAGCAATGGCTTTTTGTGTCAATTACATAGATCTCATTGATCAAGTTAATGTTCAAGACTCTAGCACGATTAATTACTGAGTTGTAGTCCATAGTGAAATTATAAAATTCATCATGTAATAGGTATATGACTACGGAAGGCACTTTCTTGAATCTTCAGCACGTTACCTGTCAGGGAACGTAACTGTTGGCCACTGATTAAGGCATATCACTCTATAGCCCTGACTTACAGAATAATCTCCCTTTTGAAACTTGATAATTTCTGGTTTTGGCTTTGCAAGCAAGTTTTATCAAGGTATTTATTCGAATCTTCACCAATGTCTTCAGCACGTTAACTGTAGCTCATTGACCAAGACCCATAACTCTAGAATGGATTTCGCAATGACAAAAATCCGTCTCGTTACTTGTTTACGACTAAAGATCTCATGAATTGACTTGAATTGACTTGGTATATATATGACTAGCTATAAAAGGGCTTATAAGATAACCGGAATTCAGAGGTGTAAACAGAGAAAACGTAAATCATATTTCAGAGATCAATGATGCTGTATCATACATTTTATGTAATATTGTTTCAGGGCCGCTATGGAAAGGCTTTTCAAGAAATATGACAAAGACAATAGTAACACGCTGAGCAGAGGGGAGTTCATCCAGTTAATAAAGGACTCTTTCAAAGAGGACAGAGTGAATTCTGTCGTCGGTGAATTTCTCAATTACAGTGATAAGAATGGCGACGGAGTCATCACCTATAATGAATTCAAAGAGTTTTTCGGGTAAAAATTCGGACAGATATATTCGGATAGATTTCATTAAAAGTGAGGAGTGTTCGGATACTTGGAATTTGTTTAACTTCCCACAGGCTTAGCTTTTTCATATTAGTGTATGCAAATGCATCTGTTTCCATGAACTATACGAGAATTTTCCATACGTTGAAGTTTTAAAGACTTAACGAACACACAGATTGTAAAAATTATCACATATTTAATTCACTGTTCATTTTCGGATGAAATTTGGTTGGATAATTACCACTGTATTCATAAATTTTGATATTGTTTCAGAATTGGAAAATGACGAAAACCGTTTTACATTCTCTCCAAATTAATTCGTTCTCAAGTTTAGTTTGTTATTTTATATATCCACATATATAATATAAATTTTAGGTGCTAATATTATATCAGAATTGTTTATGTATTTTTGTATGTATATATAAATACAAAGTATAACAAAAAAGTCATGAGCGTGATTTTATTTTACTGTAGGGCACATTGTATACTGTCAGTATAGTATAACTGAGCAACGCAGTAAAAGATTCACTCCCTTCGGCTTGAATTATTAGAACTGATTGTAATTTAATCTACGAACATTATCAGTTCTAATGATATTTGACATGTTTCTATGTTTGATATGGTGCTATTTGAACATGTACATGTATATACAGTAAATACCCATTTAAACACGGATACAAAACTTGTCAAAATCTATATATATCGAATTTATAACACTGCACAATCTCATTTTTTATAGGAAAAATAAAGATAATTCAAAATTTTGATAGCACTCGTGTATATATACTTTATATAAACGGCACAGTTTCCAATGAAAGAAGGCGTTTCAAACGTGCAGTTTATGACACTTTTTTATAATTCTCTTGTTCTGCTTTAACCAAACAAAGATGTATGTAAAATTATCATTACACTACCACAGTCAGCAACATCAAATAATATAATAATGCAGTCTATGTTAAAGACCATTTAACATCTTGTATTTGAATGCCCCATTACACCTTCAGAACATTGTCTTTAAGAAGAAGTTTCATCATCAACAACAAAAACAACAACACTAAATACATGTACTAATAATTTTTTTAGAGGCATGCTTGGTTGGAATAAGCTAAGCTTTAAATCACGTGACTTTGTTTAAACTAAGCACTGTCTAACCGAATAGTAACGCTTCTAAGAATACAGAAATGCACCGCAATGAAAACCTTCAGTGTCACATTTTAAATCAACATGGGCGTTAATTCAACATGACTAAATAAGCATACTGACAAGATAGATAAACTGTAATTTATTAAAATGCTGTAAGTTTTCGATATATCCCACGCATATTTACTGTATTGACGTCCTAACTTGTGTCGATAAAAAATTGTATACAACGTCGAACTGTCAAGTGTCTCCTAAAGTACACCGTAGTAATTTATACTATTTTGTATAAACGTGGCAATTAAACTTAAAGTTCAATTGAAAGTTTTTTATTTAGGTCTTTTCAAAAGTAAAACATTTAGATAACAGTGGATATTACAGCTCCCGGTCAAAGATTAGTATCATGTATAAATTTGAATATTGCAGTTAACACTATCATTTTAATTAATAACACACAAAAGAGCATGTTTTTTTTTTCAAATAATTTGGTTTAAATCATTCTTGTAAAATACAGTGATTGTATGCAGATTGATTTAAGTATTAAATACAGATTGATTTGATTATTTCGTACACATTTTTTGCGCACATATTATTTCAATTATTGCATACACAATGAATACATTACTGCATACAGATTTATCTAATGATTGTGTGCACATTTGTTTGATTATTGCATACAGTTAAGTGCATTTATTGCATACATATTGATTTAATTGGATATTCCTTACAGATTGATTTAATTGAATATTTCTTACAGATTGATTTGATTAAACCTTACAGATTCTTTTCGTACAGATTAATTTTATCGTTGCATACATATTTATTTCTTGTATATTGCACACTTTTATTTATTTTTTGCATACATATAAGATTGCTATCATTACTGCATACAAATATCTTATTTATTGGATGTAAATTGATTTTGCTATGGTAACTATTCAGATTGATTTAATTGATTTGATTAGTGTGTGCAGACTGATTATTATTCCGAGTTGATTTAATTAAATATTACTCACAGAATGAACAGATTGATTGAATTATTACTTGTAGATTTTATATAACTATTCCGAAAAGATTCTTGTCTATAATGAATTTAAGGCGATCAACAGCAGTATAGACTTATTTAATATGCACGTTATGTACGTGTGCTCTTAGTGTTTTCAAGGGAGTTAAATATGTCATTCCCTTAGATGGTATAGATAAAAGACATACGTTCACATCTCATTATCATAAATTTTTCTTCATCTCGACTTAAAATTGAATACCACTTTGTAAATGTATTGTTTAATCAACGCAAGTTGTTGCCATGAAATACGGTGAACATATTTTAAATGTTCAAACAGTTTCTCTTTTACCTTTATACTTGTGTAACGTGTAAGTTTTAAAATCCGGGGATTTTAGTAATGCATGTCAAACATTAATAAATTTCTACGTCACCATAATTTGCCTCATTTATTTTACTACGTGTGTTTTTGTCTTGTTTCTAATTTACAATTTAATGATGTAACAACTACATGTATATATACGTGTGCAATATATTCTTGTTTAATGCATGGACTAACGATTGCTATTTCTGTATACATATGCTGTAGACCAAAGACATATGAGCCGTGTCATGACAAAACCAACATAATGGGTTTGCGACCAGCATGGATCCAGACCAGCCTGCGCATCCGCGCAGTCTGATCAGGATCCATGCTGTTCGCTTACCGACTCTATTACAAGTAGAGAAACTGATAGCGAACAGCATGGATCCTGATCAGACTGCGCGGATGCGCAGGCTGGTCTGGATCCATGCTGGTCGCAAACCCATTATGTTGGTTTTGTCATGACACGGCTCATATAGCCTTAAATTTAAATTGTGTAAATGATAAATGTCTACTTATGTAAAATGACTTAAAGTGATACATTAAAGACACACCGCAACTGATTATAGATGAAACGAAATTTAAATAACCTGATGTACATTTAGATTTTTAAAGTAGCATATACTGTATAAAAAATAGGATTAGAACTTTTTTTAACTGCTTTACTTATTTAGCCATTTAGATGTTTGCACATATTCATTTTTTTATATAAACAGGTAACGAAGCTGTGTCTTTAAATTTTAAATTTTCTAACTTCACTTGTTAATGTCCTTGAACACCAAACTACCGTATACTATAGTATCAATAAAGTTAAGACATATACCCAAACAAAACCTCGAAAGAACATATTTTTGCATACTTTGATCTTCACATTTCGATAAATTTTTATTTCTGGTTTGTTTGCTTTTGTGAGAAACGTTTACGGTTGGCAAACATAAAAATATTAAAGACTACGGATGTGATATTAAAGCACTTATTTCATATATGTTATGTAATTCTTTTAAAATTTGAGATAAATTTAATTTATAATGAAAATCTTTCAAAAAAAAGTTCATGGCAGTATAATTGTATATATTTATTTACTTTGTATTGTAAAAGCAAGAGAGAAAAATCTTTTATACCGACGCTTACCTGATTCAGGTACGGAAAATGTCGAAGAATACCGATCTTTTACGAACTTAATAATTGTGCAACTCTATTTTTATTTGTCAAATATATTTTACATTTTATATCAATTTCCTCCTTTTGTTTTTATACAGATTTTTTAAATCTTAGACCTTTGATGATGGAAGCTTTCTTTTACTTATCAAACTTGTGTTGTAAGACATTTATCGTCGTTTGTACTATATTTATGCTAATGGGTTATTTTACATATAGGACAGGTGACAAATTAGATCTAGATCATTTCAAAAACATTGTAAAAAAACCTGTGGGGAAAATAATGTTTTAAATTTAGTTCAGTTCTAAAAACCGACTAAAATATCAATTTCAAAAAGTAATGAATTTAGAAATGAAATTTTAATAAATGGCGGGGTCAGATCCAAAACCATAAATTATAAGTTCATTCAAGTTTACGTTGGATAGAAAATATACAAGTAAGATTACAGGGATGTAGCTAGTAGCTTGAACAATGACATACATGTATATACTTTTCTCTTATTTTCCTTTTTCTTCTACTGGCATATCTTCATATACATTGTACTCACATTTAAAGCAAATCATAAAATAATCCAAGTTTTCAAACAACAAATAAATTAATTTAGAATGAAACGATTTCTTCCCGTCTTATATAATATTATATGAATAGGAAACATGTAATAAACTTTCATTTTTCTTATTTAAATAAGCACCCGCAGGATTTGCTCCGCATGATTGGAGCTTTAAAATAAATTACGCAAAAAAATGGGGCAAATGAAAACCATTTGTGCCCGTTGTAAAAAAAAGTTGGGCTTTAAAAAACCCCAGTTGTAACGTCGCACGCTCGGGTTTGCATTTACTTTCTTATCTTTGGGTAAATTCACAGTAAATTATTAAAGGTGTTTTTTGAAAATTTGTATTTTTTAAAATGTTTTTTTTTTTTTCTATTGTTTAGTAACTTTTAAAAATTATTTTTTTGAGTTAAAATTTGTTTTTTATAATATAAAAGAATTTTTGGAAAAAAAGGTAAAAAAATAAAAAACCGGGTTTGAAAAGATGGGTTTTCCCCGGTTCTAAAAAAAACGTGTAAGTCCGTTTTTGGTTTTTAGGGCGGTTTTATGATCTTTTTTAACATAAGTGGATTTTTTCTGTTAAAATTGGTCGTTATTTTTGCTTTAATTTATTTTTCTAAATTTAAAGTTTATGTTTCGAGCTTTTAAACTATTGCATGGCTCTTACTGTCACATCACAAGTAATATAGGAGTTTTAACTCGCATAAAATGGTGAATACACCTCAGGGAAAACTTAAACGTTATTTTCTAATTATACTGAATACATTGTTTTGTACATTTTAGTTAGGTGTATTCACCATTTGTGTCTGCATGCATGTTATTGTCTGGAAGTGGGCCTGTGGGGGGGGGGGGGACCTGTGATTCTTGCTTCGTAGTAGAGGGGGACAAGGTCCCTATTCAGCTTAAAATGAACATTACAACACTCGAGCTTAATCAATAGTAAAATGTGGTCAAAAACGTGGAAAATGAAAAAAAAATGAAAAAAAAAAACTTCTACTAAACAATATCTAAAAATCCAAATTCATTCAAACTAGAAAATAAAAAGCAGGCTCAACGCTTTAATTATCAATTTTGTATCATCGGTGATTATTTTTGTTATCGAAAATCTGGAGCTGCGCATGCCAAAAATGAAGCATTTTCTTGTTTCATTTCCGTTTCAATTGCAATTAAAACAATGTAATGCTCCATACTGACATTATTTCATTGTCATCATGAAATCGTTTACATTTTGTTTTTACAAAGCCAAATAGGACTGCAATGCGTACGTTACTAAAAGCACTGTTAGACTGCAGTGATTGCGTTCGTTTCCATCAGGCCATTTGTCCGGCTGCGCGGGGACTGATTTGCCAACAGATGACAAAATCATACATATTTCGTAGTATGTCATTGAAATTCCTTTAAAATTTAAAACGAGTTCTACCAATTCAAAACAGGGCAAAATCCATTACACACATTCAGTATATGAATTGTTACAAATGAACTTTTAAAAGACTTCGTTTGGCCATATTGCGCTGTCATGACTGACTTTGCTTATTGTAAACATAAGAGTAAACCAATTTGGAGGTTAATTCACCGGAAGAGACACATCCTATTTCCAATGTTATGATTGTAATTGCAATTTGCTTTTGTGAGGCCATTTTGGAATATCACAATTTGCGTTTTCTTCAAACCCTGGTCCAACGTGATACGTTCCTATAAACACTCTATCAAAAATACCTTCAATTTAGGCCAAGCGTCTGTGTTTTCGTCTGGCTATGTGTGTGAGATAATCATAGTGACATACATTTCGTCGAAACCCAAACTTACCATTCATTTTGTGTATTGTTTCTCAGCGTCCCTAGATCTTGCTGAAAGATGGCTTTAACAAAACAACAGTGCGATGAGTTTTGGAGACTTGCTGACACTGATCGAAACGGCTCCCTGACAATTCAGGAAGTTAGAAACGCCTGTCGAAAGTATGACAGAAATCTTAAGGATAAAGATATTGCAGTAAGTGTACCGTGTTCTTAATTTACAATCATGCCTGGAGTAAACACCACCTTTTTTATTAAAAACATATAAAATGAAATATTTAAACTCATCAAGACAACAGCTTGATGTATTTTTCACTTTCTGAACTGTTCTAGTGCAGCCTTTAGTTTAAACACTGTCCATTATAAAAGTTTTGGATATGAATTTAACATTTATATCAGATAGCTAGGAGTAAAGAGTTTGTTCATATGGCTCGAACTTGTAGACTGGCCTGCGTCTAGACTAACCACTGGCAGCCTCTAACAGGTTTATCGCCCACATATATGTTCAATGTGCACGGACCACTAACACGGAACACTAGGCACTTTCTTTTTCATTACGAAATCAATCTTTTAAATCAAATTTGTGTTCCGTGTTTAAATTCGATGAAAGCGAAGTTGTATTTGAATGGAAGAGAAATGGAGAAAAGAGTTATCTAATTCACGTCAGCTTTATTTTGGGACATAAATAATTTATTCGACTTGTATATAATCTATGTAAGGCAAACATCGAATGATTCTCTCGATCGCAGTGGGCGGTTTGTATGTATTGCAGGTTATATTGAAAATAAAGAATTAGATATACAGAGAGATTTATAAAAGGATAGACTGTCTTTAAAGCTTATCGCCTACTTTGAATAATGGAAATATATCAAGCGGTTAAATCTCACTGTAAACTCAAAACAGCACCCTTATGTAGATATGCACATATAAGATAGTAGCAGAATATCTCTTGCATTACACATGAGTTATGTAATAGTACTAATAGGGACACGTGGCGTTATGTGAATTAGATAGGTCTTTAATAAGTCGTATACTTTGTTAAATGTTGCTACCTTGTAGTTGGCAAACTAAAAAACTCAAGTACCATTCATTCATTCATTTATTTATTTATTTATTCATTCATTCATTCATTCATTCATTCATTCATTCATTCATTCATTCATTTATTTATTTATTTTAGAGTATGTTTTGTACGATAGACGGTGACGATAACGGCAGAATCAGCCAAACAGAATTCACAAATGAAATGTCAAACAAAACTAGACGAGCGTAAGTGAATATTCTTTGTAATTTTGAAGCATAACTTGGGTACTGGAAGGAGGGCTGTTCCGGAATTAATCGTTTACTTAATGCATTTTATCAGAAAATTATCAACAAAAATGATATTCATCCTCAACACCCCCATTCGATTTACATACAAAGTCATTCAGTCGTATCGATTGTTGCGTTATGAATGGTATCTTTTCGTGACAAGTTAATCATTAATTCATTTTTTGATCATTTTATTTATTGTTGATATTTTGTGCACGAGTTTACTAATGGTTTAATAAAATGTCTCTTTTTACGAAGCACGCCCTGTAGTTACATAATTATAAATGAATTAATTTTCAATGAAAGCCTTACCCCTTGCGTGTTTTTTTTATTTGCGTCATTTTATTTCGCTGTTAATTAAGATAATCAAAGCATTGTGTTATATTATTTTACTTTAAAATGATAAGTTAAAGTGTCGGAGGCGAAAACAACCACGAAATTTTAGTGAAGTTCTATAAAAAAAAGAATTATTATTAAAAGTTATTTCAACTGTCACCTTTCAGGACTTCACTTCAACAGTGCTGGCAAAAGTATGACGTGGACAGGAACGGAACACTTTCAAGAGGTGAAGTTATGAAAATCATTGAGGAAAACTTTCCGGAAAAATCGAAGAACAGAATCATTGGTGAATTTCTTGAATTTTGTGACCTGGATGGAAATGGGATAATTACACGAAAAGAATTTGATGATTTCTTTTGTGCTTAAACGAGAACTAACATTTGATGCTTGATGCAAAGCAAAACTCGTCGGCAAAGTGGCATCGACTCTTCGCTTTTACAGTTTCACTTTGTTAAAAGGTATACCGAATACCTATGGCAAATTTATACCCATTTTTATATTTTAGTGTAGTTTTGCTTTTAAAAAATCTTCACGAGGATTTTACTAAATGAAACATATTGGAAATTATTTAAAAAGAACTTCTTCACAATTGCAATTCAAGGACATTGGATATTATTGCTGGGTGTGAAATGAATTATTATCCGAATCGTAGAAAGACACTAAAATTTGATTGGTTACCATTTTAAAATGTTTAGTTATATTTTTGTTTCTGATTAGTCCTTTTTGTCCGTTTAATACCATAAATTTCCAGCACAGAGCTTTTTTATCTCGATTGAGCTATATTATAAGAAAATATTTATATATGATTTGAGATTTTTACATTAAAATATATAGTTTATATATACGATTTCTTAACCAGTGTCATTTGTTTCTTTATCATAATACAGGACCAGCTTGCTCCTTCGTGTACCAATGATAACATTGTCTCCACTGAAAAAGCTAATAATCCAAACTTTACAAGCAGTTTGTTAAAAAGTGAGCAATAATTTTGTCTAAAACTAAATAGACATTTATAGTCCAAAACCGAGTAAGGAATTTATCTAAAACTGAAATGCAGTTTGCCTGAAACTAAATGTGAGAAAGTTGTTTGTCTAAAACATCATCAGGTTTCTCTTAAATATGCAAAATGTTTGTCAAAAACTGAGCGAGTATTATATCTAAAACTGGGCGAGAAACATTTTCCTTTTCTTAAACTTAAACTTAGCAAGCACTTTGTCTAAAACTGAGCAGAGCAAGCAATGTGTCAAACACTCAAATACAATTTGTCTACAAGTATTTGTCAAAAGTTAAACAAGTAATTTGTCCAAAGCTGAGCATTTTGTTTTTGTTCAAAATTAAACAAGAAGTTTATCTTAAACTGAGAACATTTCTTTGTCTTAAACCTAAGCAAGCAGTACATTGATTGCAAAAACCATTGGTAGAAATTCAAAAGATATAAACAAGAGCAATTTAAACTCAGATGAATCAACTCAATTAACTGTTTAATATAACATCAATACAAGCTGTCGCATTTTGTCGTGATAACGTTGTACAAGTATAAAATTTGGTTTTGGACAAACTTTACCGAATTTCTGCACCTTTTCGGGCATAATTACTCTTTCCGCTTAAATCACTCTTTACTCTCATTGGACCAAAAGTTATACCAGCATTATCTAGGGTCCTTCTCTAAACGTCTATCTTATTGGCTAAATGATAACATATTTATTAGTAAGTGTGAATTTTAGAAATTCTAAGACATTTTGTTCCGTTTGGACAATCGTGATTTTTTACGTTGGTACGATGATGAAAACGCGATGGTACGATGGTGAAATCGCTATGTCGTACCATCGCGACATCGCGATTTCACCATCGTACCATCGTGTTTTCACCATCGTACCATCGTGTTTTCATCATCGTGTCATCGTACCATCGCGTTTTCACCATCGTACCATCGTGCATCGCGGGTAAGGACGAAATAAATATCACTATTGTCCAAACGGAACACCGTAGAATACCGTGTACAAATGCTGAGAGAGTGGAATGATCTGGTATTTTTGAAAAAGTGTAAGCCTTTTATATCGGAAAAAATAGTGCTTTGCATTTACAACGACTGCGCACTCTCTCATTCTTATTATCTTTTCACGCGTCCGTACAATGCAACATTTATGTTGCGGTTAAGTATTTTGTCTTTATTTCGCCTACGTCTTTTTCCACACAGACGACAAGATAACGATTGCGTGGCTAAACATTACAGTGATATATTATTCAACCATTGCACACACAGTATTTGCGCTGTCATCAAAATTTACGGACGGTTAAGCCATGATTTTACATCAATTTTTTTTCACTTGAAAGATATTACGTAGTTTGAATTTGTATACTATACTATGTTGTTATGGTAACAGTATAATTGAGAATAAACCTTCTATAGTTTATAAATGATTTTACATTAGATTTTTCGGATCGTTTGTTTCATGAGAATTTTAGAACCCAAAAATTTTAATATTTATTATATCTGATCTTTTATTAAAAAAGAGAAAGAAATGAGAGTCCATACATATATGACATAAAACATTTCCCCCCGCATAATAAAATACTTATAATCTCATTTGCATATTTGTAGCTACACCGCAAGCGTTAACATTTCAAACCTGTTTTAACCAACAAAACATTTAATTCACATATTTGTAACTTGACTCAAACTAAAAACTCACCATAAGGTAACTTGGGAAATTGACTTTTGTTACTTAATACATTCTCACTCTTTTTAACCCATTCACCGCCATCTTTTATAATGGACCTGCCAAACTTTGAATTTGGAACAGCCCAGTCTCATTTTAATAGGTTTTAATACCAAAAATACATAAACTTCAATTACTTGAGTTGTAAGCTGGCTTTGTTTTTTATTTGTGTCAAGAATTAAAAAGGAAAAATAACTCCAAGCACCAAGTTCAAAGATTTTATTTGATAATTTTGATTGTGAAGCGATTTGAACGTGCAGTATTCACACTTCCAAGTCAACCTACTGGACTAACCAGTACAGGTGCTATATGGAGAACACGGTAGTGAACCAAGACAGTATCACCGCCTCAAGTCCTGTGTGGAGAGATAGTCACCTTAATTATAACCCATAAATATAGTTACTTTTCACCCTTCCGCTTTTTACACGAAAACTAAAATTCTAATAATTAACAAATTTCAATACAAATTAAACCATTTTATTGTAGATTTTGATACCTAATTTGCCACAATCAAAATCATGTATGTATACAAAATATCCAAGTAACCAAATTCGCAACTGAGTATACTTAATTTACATTGCAAGCACATGTAAAGGGCTTGATTACATGCCAACTTTACTATGGTCTGATGTATTTGATTAAAAAGTAAATGAGACGTTTTAATAGCGTTTAGCAATAAAACGAGACCAACAACAACAAAAAAGCAAGCTAAAAATTTGCAATTTCACTCGTTAAATGCTTGTGTTTAATGCATTGTAAAATCGTCTGGCTAAACATTGCAAATTGTAGGAACGCAGAAAATAGTTTTGAGACTCAGTTTTAAGAATTTTGCCCAATTTACATTTAGTTATTTCTTATGTTAAACTCATGGGAAAAGTGTTCTTCGAAAATCTGCTAGGTTTTTATAATCAGTGAATCAGTTAGCAATAAAATGTGTTTTTGTGGCCAGGCTTGAATTCTAACGTTAGGTCCGCATGTTTTAGTCTTTGGTCGGTGATGTACTCGTACGTGTTCTGCTATACATGAATATAGACAGAACTAGTTAAATTCTAATATTCCACAGTATTTCACGCCAGACGGTCATCATAATATCTTTGCATGCATTGTCTTGGTTGCAATATGCCTGTGAGTGTGCAGAACGGAAAATTTTGCATACTTACTTGACAAAATTCTAACTTTATCTGCCTATTTTGTTATGTGCCTGCACGGACGGTGTAACAATCCTCATGGATGTGGCAATTTCAAGCTACACCGTCATGACTGGAAATAGCGATGGTCAGCGTGAGAGACAATAAAATGGCATTGCAAATGTTTCAGAGTTTGGTGAAACCATCTGAGCAGATTTAATTCTGTTACATGCTCAGTTGTAGGTTTTTATATTAAATGTCCCTGAAACTTAAAATGAACGGGTCAAAACTTCAAGCAGGCGCCCCGAGTCCATTACAAAAAACAGCAGTGTAGTGTTGAACAGGACGCAGAAATAGAAAACCTAATTCAAGGCTTAATGGACTCATTCACCTTTTCATCATTCACATTCTGTTTTTGATTCATGAACATAGAACATAGAAAAGCTAGTGTAGAATTTCGTTTGATGACATGATCAAACTAAGAAATGTGTCCTTGCAATTACTTTCTATGAGCTTTGTTTAAGTTTTCTTCAGTTTCAATGTATAATACATACAAACAAGAGCATAACTTATATTTAAAAGTTCATATAATTTTGTAATTATTAACATTTATTCAAATCAGGGTTCAAGTAATAAACAACAACAACAAAGATGAAAAAATGTACCAGTATGTGAACAATAAGATTAGCTTTGGCCTTTGTACGCCACTAAAAGTTTCCCAGGGCGATAAATGCACTTAAGATCTTGTTACAGTCAATCAAATTCTGTTTACGAATTCGCCCCTTTAATCAAGCTTGAACATCTATGTCTCAATCGGTAAAATCTTTACAAACTTTCCTTATGAAAGTGAATGAAGAACGTGATTTGAATAGATAATTTTATCATTTATCCTGTTTTGACGAAAACGAATAATATGAAATCAGCCGTAAACATACACATTTATCAACATGTACATGTATAGTTTTCACTCGAGAAAACATTGCTGAAATTTCGAAATAAATTTAACAGTAAGCCTTGTAACACCGCACTTTGGGGTCCAACGCACTTTGGGGTCCGACCCCAAAGTGCATCGGACCCCAAAAGTGCGTTGTTACAAAGCATTTAAATATATGAGCACACATATAAAAGCCACATTTATAGTGCAACAGAATGGAATTGAACCATACCGAATGAAAAAATCGTACATATTTCATAAGTACCATCATTTCCTGCTAACTTACATTGTTTCACCATAAACGATGTTTTAGACGATATAACATATCCATCATAGGTCAACTCAATTAATATTACTAATAAATTGATTAGCCGTTACATAAGAGTTCATTTTACTTTGAGTATATCCCTTTTTTCAGATTACTTTAATTTTATTTGTACTTTTATTATTTTCAAAACGCCCAAAAAACACTGAATGGTCATGGGAAATTTCCACCCTTGCTGAATTGGGAACTCTCTGATGTAAAATGTATGATATTATTTAAAGTAACAAACGCCCTAAAACCCCGTTAGCTTTTTTTTCACTAAAATTTTTTTAATTAATATCCCTTGTGGGGATTTAACCAAAAGCTGTGAGGGACGATGATGCGACAACAGTATTTTAATCTGTCCTTGCCATTTGCCCGGTGTTACATTTTTAAAAAACAGTTAATTTTTTGAACCCAAGGTGAAAGAAAAAAGGTGATTTTTTCAAGCTAGTGTATGTGTGCAATTTGGCAAATTAACTGTTGGACCGCCACAAACGGGGATTCTGAAATTCAAGATAAAATCTATCAAGCCCAGTTTTGAACAGTATGAATCAAACAAGGAAACCCTAAAAATATATTTTGGTAAAATTTAATGAAACATAAAGTGGTCAATTGTACAGATCCGAAAAAATAGTTTGTTATAAGATTGCTGAAACGTATTAAACTTTGATGAATAAAGATTAATCGATCACTTTGGGGAAAAACTTCAATGTTCAGGTATTGAATGTTTATGCAAATTTACATATTCTTTCAAGCTGACAATTTTT